GCAGAAGACGAGTGAGATTAAAAATGCAATGTTGGTTTTTTTTAACATGCGTTTTAAAGATATTTGCCATTTTTAAAATCCTGGTTTGGGCGCTATTGCACCGAGGCTGACCATGCAGCCTTTCAGCATTAGGGATGTGAATGCCACATAATGAGGTTGTTGTATCAATAAAATACATTTAACTGAAGGTAAAAACTTACAGACTGGATCATCCATTTTCATACTCCTCTGCATACGGATGGATTCTGGGACTGTGTCTTCGATCAACTGGTCGATCGACTGTCGGGGGGGATAAATAAAGAATTTTAATAAATAAAAGCGCGCAGAACGGGACTGTGAATATGAAATGATATCAATATAGTGCACAGAGGGAATCTTTTCACGGTGAAATTAAGGTTTTTAATCACTGCGCCCAGTTTATTTTTGTGGGCAAATCTTACCTCGAGTCCCAGAGCATCCAGCATTTCTCTCTTCTCCCTCTCACCTGGACCGATGTGCCTCTCCGCAAAATCATCATGCCTGGGTAATATCCTCTCTATCTGCCTGGAGGAGACGGCTGCGGAGGTCCTCAGACCCCGGGCTGCTGTTGTCGGGGATGCCCCGCTGTTTCGGATCCTGCACTGAAGTTTCCAAACCACGCGGCTCTTGTCACTCAGATGCCTGCACGGCGCGCTGGGATTCACCGACTTAGCCAAGAAGATCCCCCAGGACTTGGCGCAGCTCTGCATCTCTAAATCACTTTGCAAGACAAGTCTGCAAAAAAAAAAAAACTTGGTGACGCCTCGTCCTCCCCTCGCTCGGCAGCTGAGTTTTCCCCCCAACTGAAAGACTGATGCGATCCCTGCAGCAGACTCTGCCAACTCCTTCAAAAACTGCAGAGTTTATACAACTGCACGGTTGCACAAGAGCGAACCAATCAGGGCGGGGGATGCTGCGTGACGCTGTGAGGAGCCCAGGTCAAACAGCTGCTAAACTTTCTCACGTGCCCACCCGTCCACCGAGGGAGAGGGAGAGAAAGCATATACAAGGAGGTTTGCAGGAACAAGGGCTCAGAGTCCGAGCTGAACACTGAGAGCTCATAGAGGTAGACGGCAAGGTGTACCTAGTGGGTGAAATGGGACGGTCACACAGATCAGGGGCGGATCTAGAGGGATGTTCATGGGGTGGCAAGAGGGTGGCGAGAGGGTTGCATGGCGACTTTAAGGGTTGGTAGACACATAGGCGGATTTAATTGCAAACAATGACATATGTTTGCAAGGGAAAGTCCCCCAGACTCAAAAGCATTGTTGCAGCACTGAATAGAAATATCTATTAGAAATCCAGAAATTGTTTTATTTGCAAATCTTAAGACATTTTTACAAATACATGTCTTTTTTTCCATTTAACCTAAGCCTATCGTAAAATGTGTCCACAAAAGATCCTTATTTTAATTTTTAGAATGAATCTAAATTAATGTGTTATATTTGACAGCGTTTGATAGCAAACTGGGGTGGCCGGGGTTTTTTGGGGGGGGAGTGGCAGCTGTCACCCACATGCCATCCCTGATCCAGCCCTGACCCAGTTGCCAATAAAGGAGAAATTGGTGTTTGTTCATTCCTATTTTACAAAGAAAACAGTAATGTATTAGATAAAAACATACCTTGATATCATTCTAATGTTATCACAAGGACAAACCAGAATAATCGCCAGTGAGTCATTTACCTGTTCTTATTATCCTTTACTGCTTCCTGAGTGTGTATAAAGAGCTCAAAAAAGCAAATGCTACTGTCAAAGGAGACCAACTGCTTGTGGACTTATCACGCATCAAAGTTTCCAAGTCTGTGAGAAGAGATTTGATCTGTGGTTGTACTTTCGTTATTTATTTAAAAAAAAAAAAAAAAAACATGTTGATGCTGTTCATATTTTGAAATGCATCATGGGTGAGTGGACAGCTCTGAAAACAGGTTTAACCAGCATGCATTTGGATCCAATCACTGAAGCCATGCCCGCATTCTGGGGTAAGGGAGGCATGTGTCCAAAACAGGCTACAGAGGGAAAGTAAATGCATCAATAGCAGCAGTGGAAGACCATGTCAAAACACAGCTGATTTTATTAAATCAAACTAACCTAATGCTTTAAAGTCTGTACAAAAGTAAAGGAGCCAGTGAAATAGTTTCTCTAGCAGATATGCACAAATAAAGAGCTGCATTTAAACAAATAAACCACTCCAAAATACATATATAATACATTTGCTAGTAGAGGCAATATCTAGGAGAGTAATATTCCTTTTCTAAACTCAATATGTCAGAACAGGTTAAATACCACTGTAACATGTTGATAGAGTGCTGTAGCTTTCATCAAGTAGCAACTAGTTTTTCTGCAGCAGTTAAGCAAAGAAAATAATGTGGTGATGAGAAACAGATACGTCTAAACATGTGTCATCATAAATGTGATCACAAATGAATCACAAAAAAGTATTTGTATCAAAGGCTGGGTCCTTGCAGCAGCAGCCAGGGGTTCAAATCCGACCTGTGGCCCTTTGCATTCCCCCTCTCTCCCCCTGTTCCTGTCAACCTACAGCTTTCTATTAAATAAAGGCAAAAAAGCCCCAAAAATATATATTTAAAAAAAGTATTTGAGGTTAATTTGGCCCACAGTGTATTAAATTAGATGAAATAAATAATCCTTGCAGTGCAATTGCGTTGTCGCAGCAGCACAGATTAGAGATGAGAACATGTTGAGTAAAAAATATAGTAAAAACAGATGAACATTGAAATAAACAGCATTTACAAACATCATCTTCACTGAGACAAACCAATAAGTTAACACAGATGTGAGACAACAAATACAGAAATGTGCCCAAACAAGTAATAGTGACACACTGCCACTGCGTACACTCATGCTACAAGAGAAGGGTCATGCTTGTGGCGTAGCTCTCTGAATGATAATGTCAGTCGGCCAGTCATCACTCTGGTCCAGACTGAAATATTTCAACAACCTTTGTTCACATTCGTGGTTCTGAGTGAAATATCTCAACAGTGTTTGGATGGATTACAGTGAAATGTGTCACACATGTCATCATCAGGTCAAATACTACTGTTAAATGCTTCAGTTTATGACGGAATACCTACAACAAGACAATGTAGCTGTACTTTGTGTTTAATGCAAATTAGCATTTAGCATGATGATGTTAGCATTCGGCTCAAAGGATCACATGTCTAATACAGCCTCACAGAGACATGACTTGGCTGTAGACTCTTATATTGTTAAAGAAATCTCTTGTTAAAGAATGTCTGTTATTTAATATCAAATAAAGTTGAATTATAGGATAAGAAATTGTGCAGTGTTGGTGTTTCATTAATAATCAGGTACACTGAATGAGGGACCATGAATCATTATAAATATGTGGTTTCAGTGCCCCTTTATTATTACTGTATGCTAAACACTGCAGCTACCAATCAAACAAAAGTAGTTATTTTGTTCTTCACCAGGACCTTGCGCAACCACCTACAGTTCAAGTAAAGTATATTATATTTTCTCTCTGAGAATTTGTTTGTGCTGCCTCAAGTGATGATTTGCAGTTGGCAGTTGTTGGGCTGCAGCTGCCTACGAACGTGACGAAGTCAGCCATTAAGAATTTATGAAGAGAACAAAACATGTTTTTACCAAACCAGGCCAGTTTAATTAGGACTTTATCAGGTTTTCCCAAACCATCTAACATATCTAAAGCTACAAAAACACACTAGTACTTTTATATTACATTATAATTAATAAAATAAAATAATTCATATTAAAGTATTAAGTAAGGTTCTGTTTTAAACGTCTTATCACTCTAAGCCATTTGGTGCCTCTTGGCACAAACATATTGCCCTACAGGTCAGACCAGCTCTCCTTTAACATTTCCTCTTTGTTCGCACATAAATATCCTACTGCACCCTTTTTGTACACAATTCAGTATGTTACAATAACAACATTCAGCTTGAGACACCAGTCATATAGTCAGACATATACTAGGTTAGTATAAAAGTGCCCATCTAAAATGTTCTTTTTTCAAGGTTGGTCTGAGAATGAAGACCACGGACATCATCATCAGTTTAATACTGACAAATGTTTAATAATAAAGACTTTTAGTAAAAGTTCTCAGAAATGACTTTTGTCCTCAAGCAAGACTGCTGCGCATTATCAGAGACCAGCAGCTACTTGAGTGAGGACACAAAGGTTTACAGCATCTTTAAATTGGCACAGAAGTCAAGTGTACATATATCTATAAAAATACATATAAAGGTAAAACCTGTTGTAAAAAGTACATTTATTCACCATTTTTAAAGTTCTTCTCAACTCAAACATTGTTGGGTCACTGAAATAAGACCAGCATGCTGTGGCTCTGACACTATTTGAATAGATGTATCATACATTTGGTTGTCTGTCTGCCAGTATAAATCCGGCAATCACAAACCTGTTTGCAAACAGATGCAAATATAACCTTGAGTCAGCAGGTTGAAAGAGTGGTTCATCTTTATTTTTGGTAATCTGGGCATAAAGCTCACTCACATTTATACCACTTCTCCTTTTGACTTTGTATTTATATTTTAGTATCAATTGAATGAGTTAACTGTTGGCTAACATTCATTGTTGTTTTGGAAAGTGTTACACAAATAAACCACTACTTTTGGTTCCTTGTAATAAAGACTTCCTGAGTTGCTACATGTTTGATGTTGTGAAATAAAAAAGACAAATTGAGAAAAAAAAACTGACTTCTTTTGGTTGCTATAGTTGCTGAAATATGGGCTAACAAAAATCCTCTGTATCCCACACATTATTGATAATATCAAACAAAGGGAATAACCATTATCAATACTGTGTGATAGTGGTAAACAAAATGAACTACTTTAATGCAAGCCACAGGTGGAATGGCAAAGACAGCCAGTGCAGATAAAACAAATATTTCAGCTCTTTATTAGGACAATCTGCACCAAATGTCAGCTATCAGTGGCCTCGATAGAGACTCAGATATGGGTTCGATGAACTGGTTGTGGGAACATCATCAGTTTTTAATGCACCAATACTTTTTACTTCCATTCGCATTTTTGTTTTATTTTCTTGCCAAACTGGGTCATCTGTCCTTAACATACAGGTAGGTAATTTCAAATTGATTTATTAATCCTATTATATACTAAACCACATGTATGTGTCAAGCAGTTAATTAGTATACAGGGAACTGTTACTTTGGGAGTCCTAATGCACTAAAATCAGTCAATCAGTGAACCCATATTTTAATACTATCTGATTGTATTTTAGTAGTTTAATGAAGTTTGATTTGTAAATGTGACCCTGTATGAAATAATCAGACCAACTGGAACATAAGAGTTTTTTAACTGGGAACACAACACTAGACTGTGTTGTACAGACAGTCTTGTACATATTTATTTTTATTTCATATTAATTTGTTTGTATTTTATTTATCCAATTGTATTCTGAACTTCTCTGTAAAATGGTAAATATTTTGGTTTAATTGTATTGTTTAAATAAAATGACTTAAGAAATCCTAATCAGTCAGGAAGTGAAGTGTAGTGTAGCTAGCAATTATTTTCATTCATCAATTAATCTGCAGACCATTTTCCTGATTAATCATTTAATTTAGTTTAGTTTTAATTTAATTGTTTGGTCTTATGTCTTGTTTTGTCTAACCAGTCTAAAACCCAGTCCAATATTCAGTTCACAATGATATAAAGAAAGACAAAACCAGCCAATCATGACATAGGAGAAACTGCAACCGGAGAATCTTAAACCATTTTTGCTTAGTTAACAGTTGCCAATTTTCCCATCCATTGACTAATCAGTTTATCAGCAAATCATTGTAGCTCTAGTCGTCAACACAGATTTCTGTCTACAGGTACCTGTTTGTCGCTGTTGGAGGATGCGTCCTGGCAGTCATCACAATGGGGATCTACAGCGCACTTCTGTTCACCTCCACCTTTGTCTTTATTCTGCTCGTGTGCTCTGTGGATCCCAGCAGTGTCCACATCTGGGCGTTTAGTATCCAGATGTTGTGGCAAACCTTCTGGCACCTGCTTATACAGTACAGGGAATACTACCTGCATGAGCCTGTCTGCATCAGGTATTCATTTTAAATGAGTTTGGTGTTATGTTAGCTGACACCTTCATCCCTACATAAATTACGAATGATCAGCTAAGCTGTCTGGTTAGTAATTTGTATTTTCAGGATAAGTCTGGCAATATTCTGTATTTTTATGATTGTCAACAAATCCCATGAAAAGACCAAAAGCCTCAATTAATTGATCCAACTAACAAGTGTCACCTGGTATAATAAATACAAAAAACATAACGCATTCACTAGGTGATCCTTTGTTATAATGAACACTGGGACTGTAGTTTAGTTTTAGTTTTATTACAAATGTACAAAAATGCACGACTTCATGTTCGTACTACAGTACCCAGATGTTTGATAAAATAGTTTTGCCTTTTAAAAAAAATGGATTTATAATTTTTTAATAACATTTTTAAATGTCTTTAGAATTATGCCACAGACGAGCTCTGGAAGTCTGAAACTACTGAGACGGATAAACATATTGTTGGTTTTGGTCTTTTCATTGAATTTGTTGACAAAGACAGAAAAATAGAATAATGCTTAAGATGCATAGATGAAGATTGCACAGCACAGAGATATATAATTAAGTGCTAAAGTATTTGCTCAAAATGGATTCCCTTTTACAATGATATTGAATCTGACAAAACAGTCTCGCCTGAAGGTCCATTTAGGAGCTGTCGACCACATTACACAGCAGAGTGAGTTAGCTCAATTGCTATAGAACTGTAGCTTTCTTTCTAAGACACCTCATCCATGTTCACTTTTTGTCAGAAATCGTTAGCTGCTGCATCTAAGAATCAATTTTGTGATATGATCAAAAGCTCCAGAGCAGTTACTAAATGAACCTTAAGGTGAGACTGTTAAGGACAAACTTTGAACCTACATTATTGGATGCTTAAAACCTAAAAAGCATTCAGATATTCATATGTGATCAGATGAACAACTCTTGCTCTTTCAGATTGTTTCTGGCTATGTCCTCTTTGATGCTGCTCACTCAGAGAATCACCTCAGTGTCCATGGACCTCCAGGAGAAACGAGTTATGCTAACATTTAATGCTTCATCCAAAAGGAAGGCGTGTGTGATGCTTCTCCCTCTTATCAGCTACACCCTCAATTTCACCACACTGCTCGGTGGCCCTTTATGCTCCTACAGTCGATTCGTGTCCCTTATGGCGGGAATAAGACTCAACCCTCCACCTAATCCACAGGGTGTGGTCTTCCTAAAGCTGATACAGGTGCTATTGCTGGAGTGTTTAAGGTATTGTCTTGTGTATTTTCTGAAACACAACAACTATGATCCCTACAACTCCATTTTTCTCTATGGCATCCTGTGGGTTTGGGGTGTGGCGGTGGTTTTGAGGATGCAATATTATTCTCACTGGAGGATCAGTGAATGTCTCAATAACGCAGCTGGGTTTGGCTTTTGGGAAAATGCCCCAGGAAGCTCCCCAGACTGGAGCAGACTATCTGACGGAGATTTCTGGACCACCGAGGCGTCGAGCCGCATTTCAGAGTTTGCCCGTCGATGGAACACGACAACAGCTTCATGGCTGCGTAGACTGATTTATATGAGATGCAAGCGTTTCCCATTGTTCATGACTTTTGGGTTTTCACTGTGGTGGCATGGTTTGCATTTAGGTCACTTTGTGGGAATTTTGACCTGGGCTGCAACAGTGAAAGCAGATTATCACATACACGGTCACCTGCGCCGAAGACTTTCATCTACATGGAGGAAAACATACACTTGTTTAAGCTGGATAAACACTCAAATGATTGTTGCTTGTATTGTTATAGCAGTAGAATTAAGAAATATGTCTGGTTTGAGACTTTTGTCGTCAACATACATAGGTCTGTTTCCACTTTTTAATATTATTCTGCTCTTTATCCTTTTAAAACTCAACACAGTTTAGTAATGTAGTCATGGGAACACACTCCTATGCCTATGTATTTGAGATATATAGCTATATACGATAAATATATGAACTGGACTTTATATCACCCTCAACTTGGGGAGTCTGTAATTGTCTAACTGTTTTACTATGAAAACTGAGTAACTACTGTACAACAAAAAGCTGCTTTATCCACAGAATAGTGGATCATTTTCAAATTCTAAATTATCCCTTGTCTGGAGCAGTCTTATAAGAGAATGTAACTGGAAATTATACTTTATTTCTGTATGTTTCAGCCACCACTATTGCGAAATGAACTGGACGGTTCGGGGGTAACATTTGGGGCAGGGCTGTTCTCCACTGCCATAAACTGAATATCACTTTTAAAATTTAAACTTGCATTAAATTACATTCTTGATTATTGGCATTGATAGGGAAGCACCTGATCATGTACTTGTAATCATAAAACTAGGTGGTGGAGAAGCAATGTCAGCAGTTTGGACATATTTTAAGCAACATTTACGACAATATTAGCAATATTTTATTTGTTACAGTCAGAAATAACACAATGTCATGTGAGACATAGCACCATACCAGCAGTGTGTGTAGCTTTAAGCGTCTTTCATCACATTATTATGGTTGTGAAACCAGCCTGGTTAAAACGTGACAACTCACCAACCGCTCATATAAAATAAATTGTGTTTTATCACGCACATGTAATCATGTATAATCATTTCCTTTATGTTTGATCATGCTGAATCCTGTACACTGTAACTTCTGACTGAATGAACCTTGGCCTGATTATTTAAACTAAGGCACTGTTGTCCACCTGGACACCAACAATGAGAACAAAGACACGCAAGATGCTAACTGAAAGTAGCAACCTCGACCAGCTTCCCATCGGTGTGCATATTACAAACAAACCTTTGTCTTGTGTGCCATGGTCTGAGCATTAGAAGTGTCACAATACAGAGAGCATGTTTTCAGAGTGTGATTACAATAATAAGCAGTTACTTGCAAACAAGCTCAGACATGGCAAGTGTACACTAGCAGCCTGAAAGTAAACCAGTAACTCATGAAAAAAGTTAAGAGCCAGATATTTTCCCCAACAGTTGGTGGACAAAAATTAAACTAAAACACCAGAAGAGGCTTTATAAGGTGGATGCAGTTTTGGTATCTTTCTGCTCCCTAGTGGTAGAAATTGCTTAATGCGGCTTTGAGGCGTACTCAGCAACAATTACAACAATATGTTCAATTTCCCCAATTAGGCATGTTTATTATGACTGAATGTTGCTGATTTCTGTGTGTTTGTGCGCAACCACTCGAGATCTGATACACATTTATCAATTTAATTTCAACAATATCCAAGTGAATTTTTAAACCAACAAAGAAAAGAAAATGTATCCAATAACATCTTTTGCAGTCTCACAGAGCTTTGAATATCCCAAAATGTACTCTGCAGCGTTGCAGTATGTGATCTACTGCAAATGTAATAAAACAATATTTGTACTGATTATTATCTCACTTATCTGAATGCTTCCTCATTTTGCAGCAAAGTCTCTCTTCTTTCTTTCCATAAATTGCCAGCAACAATGCCTAAAAATAACAACAGTCCAAGGTTTCTGTTTGAGACAAACTTCTTCCAGCAGTCCTCTGGTTTGTTAATGTCCAATGTGTAAATCTAAAAGAGAGGAGAGCAAATATCAAAACCCATGTTTGAGACCGATGTTTGTTTAGGACAACTGAGAGGACCTAATGTTATTTTTTACACATTTACACCACCAGTTCACTTTAGTTGAATATTATCTCACAATGGAATGAAACTCTGCACTGTAATTATTAACCCTTTGGCTGCGAGCATTCAGACTACACTGTACAACACCGTGTTCCTCACCTGATACGTTAGGTGAAGGGCCACTGTGGACAGTACAGCATAGTAAGGGAGAGTCTGCTCAGCATTGACCCCAGCTGCAACAAGTCCTGACATCATGGCCACCGTGAAGCCACTCAGCCATGGTTTGGTTTGCTCCTGGAACCTCAGGGCCGTAGATTTGACTCCAACTTTGACATCGTCCTCCTTATCCTTGTTATCAAAGAAAGAACAGAGTCAGTATTATCATGCGTCCATCTGCCAGAGTGACTGAAAGTCCAAGAAACAATCGTAATCAGTGATCTACAATCCCTAGATAGAAATCGTTTTAGGTTTACAGTTTGCATTTTGATTACCATACCTAATTTAGTACATAGTCATGTTTCAGTTTCACCGTTGTTGTTCCTTTCTTATTCATAATACACATCTGATTGTATTTGGCTTTGTTGGGTGAGGGGCTTTTATTGCATTTAATGGATAGTTATAACTGTAGAGTGACAGGGGGGATTACACGCAGCCAAAGGTCGGAGTCGAACCCATGGCTGCTGCAGCCTAGACACATGGGGCACCAGCTCTACCAGGAGAGCTACCAGGGAGGCCCAGTATTTGGCTTTTTCAATGGAAATCACATGAGTGTGTCGTATTTAAAGACACAATAAGATATTTTGACCAAACTCTAGGTATATTCACACTAGATAATAAGATTAAAAAAAAATAATAGTTTAAAGAAACCATATAGAAAATATTAATAAATTCGCTGTTTTGGAAAGTTTTTTTTTCCAAATACAGTATATTGTCAATTGCTTATCATCCCAAATTGACCCAATATGTAATCTTACTATTACTGTGTCAAACAATACAGCTAAATAAGTGTAATACTACTTCACTGTGTAATAAAATGCAATGAATTTGTAGTTATTTTGAAAACTTTTTTTCACTGTAAATTTGGTGCTGTCTCTCTCTGTTAGTCAGTATCCATTTGCTGCATATCCAAATCCATTTATTCTAGATTATCATGATAATAAAACTGACTTCAACTGTTTAGACTGTTGTTATATTTGGCTGAATAAAAATAGCTTTTTTTTAATACTGAGTGAGGATTATGAGATTGACTGTGACTGTCCTTAACTGCATTGGCTGGAGCTGTGTGCTGAGTAAAATGGATAATTGGATAAATTGAATATAAAATATAAAAACTGGATAGAAAATTATCTGCATTGTACATTTCAACCAAAATATATAAACTTCTTTCTAAACGTAAGCGAAAATGACCCAATATGTCAGATGCTTTTTAGGAAGCATAAAGAAGGAACTGTGGTGTTTTGTGCAGCTCTGTACATCACCTGATGTGCATATATTGTGTCATATATCAGCGTCCACATCACTCCTGAGAAATACAGCGGGAGGCACACAGACCAATCACAGGAGCCTTTGACAGCGGACCAGCCGAGCAGTGCTCCCCAATTGAAAGTGAGGCCTAATCAGAAGTAACGTAAGGAATGTAAGACCAACTTCAGCTGATTGGAAGAAGTATTATATTTAGATGAACAACTCAGGATAATCTTATACTGTACATACCCAACATAAACTGTGGCCAGTAAGTGATCCTCTTCATCAGCGGGTAGGTGATGACAAGTGATAATGACGCAGCACCCAAAACTATACTGTGAAGAGCATTACGAAAACTGTGAGCCAAACAGCGTCAAGCCTTTAAATATATAAACAACTTTGCAAGTATGTATTATACATTCACTGCTACATTTTTTTAAGTCTGTCTTAAAACAACAGTTTGTACAATGAGAGAGGTTGTCCTTGTTATAATTCGACCTGTTCATACTGATACCGGTCAGTCTGAGTTGGACAATAAGAGTGTCTTTAAAGGTACAGTCTTTTTAATACAAAATGACCTCTTTGTGTTTCTCTGGACAGTGTTTCTGTGTTGAATTGCAGTGGAAAGATAGTATAAAAGAGAGTAACTTTGGAAGATATTCAGTTGATTTGTCTAACTCAGACAGCCAGAGCCTCATATTAACTACGGATAAACTTTAAAATGCCTTTTTGCATGGAAGGAGGACTGGATTTTGTGCCTCATCACTTACACTAAAAGTGCATTAAGAAGGGATCTCTTCATGGCCAACAAAGGGAGTTATAAACCCCAAAATAAGGCAACATTACCTTTATATTGCAAGCTTCAACTATGCTATCTACTATGTGTGTTTTTTGTCTGACCTACACTCTTGGTTATTTGTTCCCTCTTGTCTGTTGTCCAACAGATCTAATGAAAAGAAGAGGATCACTGGGTACCTGTAATAGTTGAGACACAAGAGAACCCCAAGTGCCAGAGAGAGCTGCCCTCCTAGGAAGACCAATGCCTGCATCCGAGAAATCTCTCCTGACGCAATGGGTCGAGTGGCCGTCCTGGAAACCTGCACCAAAACATCACTTTCAATCAGTTAGTGCAGAAATCATGATAGGGATGCTTACATCTTGCTGTATTATAGTAGTAAAGAGGGTGTTATTGACTGTGAGTGTAGTTAAAGGTACGGCTATAAACCATCAACATAGAGTATTACGGTTTCCTAAACACTGTATTTAAAAAATTATCCACGTGGGATCAGAAAAGACCTCTATAAAATAAAACACATTATTAAAAACAACAATTAAGAAATTAAGATTATTATGGAAATATCCAGTTAATAAAAAATGGAGCTGACAGGGAATAGTATCAAATATGGGATTAGGTTATTTGGGAGTTACCATAATAAGTTTTACTTTATGGCATTTGTATGACAAAAGCCACCTGAATGTGTGAATGGCTACATATTAGTTTCATATACCTTTTTGTCAAAGTCTCTGTCCCACATGTCATTGATGGTGCAGCCCGCTCCTCTCATCAGCAGAGCACCTGTACCAAACAGGGTGAGCATGCCCAGATGTGGGAGACATCCGGGGTCAGAAGCAAGAGCAATGCTCCATGTACACGGGAGGTACAGCAGCCATGTCCCTACAATACAGAGACACACCATAAACAGGAGATTAAACAAAGCTATGAAGACATGAAGGCCAAGCCGACAGAGACAGTGAGTCTCTGAAAGTTTAAACTGTGGTCTGGTGGGGAAAGCGTTTGACTACTGCTGAGGGGCTCTTACGTTTATTCTCAGCGGCTTGCCTGGTGTTGGCAAAAAGCTTTCTGAAAAGTACATCAAGCTCCCCTGTGTAGTACGCTCTTTGTGTTTAAGCTTTTAATAAAAATAGGAGTGTAACTGTACTCCAACTAGAGTGGACATTTATGTTTTTATTTTAGGTTGCCCAGACCTTTTGGTTAGCAGATGTAGAGAGGTAGATCTAATTTTTAATTTTGGTTTGGTTTGGGATGCACAGAAGTTCAGATCTCGTGGTCATTTAGTGTTGTAATACACTATTATATTCTATTGTATGGTCTTCTAATCTGGAATATTTCATCATAAACTGTAAACCTTTTTACTCCCCCCGTGAGTTTGTTTCATTCATTCTGGTCGGTGTTTACATTCCACCGCAGGCCAACGTGCAGGAGGCACAGCGCACGCCCGCCGACCAGATACTGTGTGTGGAGCGGACTAACCCGGACTCTGTAGTTATCGTCCTGGGTGACTTTAACAAAGGAAACCTCAGCCACGAACTCCCCAAATACAAACAGTTAAATTAAATGCCTGACCAGAGAGAAGAACAAACTCGATCACTGTTACACTACAGTCAGCATCACGCCGTCCCCCGCACCGCACTGGGCCTCTCCGACCAAGTCATGGTCCACCTGAGTCCTTCATACAGGCAGAAATTAAAGCTCTGTAAACCTCTTGTGAGGACATCAAAACAGTGGACCAGTGAAGCTGCGGAGGATCTTCAGGCGTGTTTGGACTCTACTGACTGGGACGTGTTCAGGACTGCTACCAATAGTCTGAGTACACAGAGGCTGTGACGTCATACATCAGCTTCTGTGAGGACTGTTGTGTACCATCATGCACCAGGGTGAGTTATAACAGTGACAAACCCTGGTTCACAGCCAAACTCAGACAGTTACGGTTGCAGAAGGCGCAAGCGTTCAGGTGTGGGGACAAGGACAAGTTTAAGGAGTCAAAGTACAAGTTTAGCAAGGCGGTGAGAGAAGCTAAACGACAGTACTCTGAGAAACTTCAACATCAGTTCTCAGCCAACGACTCTGGTTCTGTCTGTAAGGGGCTCAGACAGATAACCAACTATAAACCTAAAACCCCCCACTCCATCAATGACTTGCGCCTGGCAAATGAGCTGAATGAGTTCTACTGTCGCTTCGACAGACAAAGGAGCAATCCTGACACCATCCCCCGTGACACCCCTCACCAGTTCCCCCTCCCCCAGCTCAGCAGGAGTCAGGGCCACTTCAAAACTCCACACCTCTGTGAATCCCTCCTCCTCCACCACAGTGATGACTCTCTGCCTTCAGGAGAGGGACGTCAACAGACTCTTTAAGAGGCAGAACCCCCGCAAAGAAGCTGGACCAGACTCTGTCTCTCCATCCACCCTGAAGCACTGTGCTGACCAGCTGTCTCCGGTCTTTACTAACATCTCATGTGGTCATGAAGTCCTTTTAATGCCTTGTGCTCCCCCACCTCAAAGCCATTACGGACCTACTCCTGGACCCCCTACAGTTCGCCTACAAAGCCAACAGGTCTGTAGATGATGCAGTAAACATGGCCCTGCACTTCACCATCCAGCATCTGGACTCCCTAGGAAAATACCAGGATCCTGTTTGTGGACTTCAGCTCTGCTTTCAACACCATCATCCCAGCTCTGCTACAGGACAAGCTCTCCCAGCTCACTGTGCCTGACTCCACCTGCAGGTGGATCGCAGACCTCCTGTCTGACAGGAAACAGCATGTGAAGCTGGGGGAAAATGTGTCTGTCTCTCAGACCATCAGCACCGGATCCCCTCCAAAGCAGCGTTCTTTCTCCTCTGCTCTTCTCCCTGTACACCAACAGCTGCACCTCCAGTCACCAGTCCGTCAGGCTCCTGAAGTTCGCGGATGACACCTCCCTCATTGGGCTCATCTCTGGTGGAGATGAGTCCGCCTACAGATGGGAGATTGACCATCTGGTGACCTGGTGCAGCCAGAACAACCTGGAGCTAAACGCTCTGAAAACAGTGGAGATGGTTGTGGACTTGAGAAAGAACCCAGCCCCACCCGCCCCCATCATCCTGTGTGATGACTCCTTCCGCTTCCTGGGTACCATCATTACCCAGGACCTCACCAAGAAAGCCCCGCAGAGGATCTACTTCCTGCGGCAGCTGAGGAAGTTCAACTTGCCAAAGACGATGATGGTGCACTTCTACACCGCCATTATCGAGTCCATCCTCCCCTCATCTATCACCATCTGGTACGCTGCTGCCACTGCCAAGGACAAGGGCAGACTGCAGCGTATCATTCGATCTGCTGAAAAGGGGATCGGCTGCAATCTGCCATCCCTCCAGGACCTGTATGCCTCTAGGACCCTGAGGCGTGCAGGCAAGATTGTGGCTGACCGTGATTCTGATTCTACTCCTATAAAGTTGTTTATTACACACAACTTTGTGAATTACTCTCAAAAGATCCCAAAAAGGCAGATTTACCAATATTCCAAACTTCGGCTGAAACTAATGATGAACCAATCCCAACATTGTTTTTAAAAAAATATACAGGCAAATATTTATATTAGGTCCCTATACAGTAACAGTTCCTCTCTAAATAATTGTATAAATTGACACAGAAGGATGTGATTTGCATTACAGATGAATGTACAAACCAATAGGCTTGTCCAGCCTCATCAATCGGAGATATGGCCGGACAGGTGCTGGAGCAGCATTGACGATTGTAGCAGCTGACAAACTGAAAGCTCTTCTCCCATAGTGCTGTGTTTCACGTAGTCTGAGTGATGGGCGGATTGCACTCTGGCTGTAAAACACTCTCCTCAACATACTGGAGTCTGAGTGAAGACCATCTCTAGTCCTTCGTCCTTCCATGTGAAGGAGGCCGTTTGACAGGGAGTAAAGGCAGGGGTAAGAGGATCCATGGTGAATCCGGTTCAGGACATTCAGAGTCAGCTTGGCTGGGAGCATCGTGTTCCTCTGAGGTCAGACTGACATTATTTATTTATTTTCCCCTCAGAAAACGTCACCCCTGAACACACAAATAAAGACACACAATGGTTTGTCAAAGGCTTTCACACAGAGGAGGACTGATTTGCTGCAACAGGCATTCCTTTTGTGCTGGCGTGAACCAGCTGCACAAAGACTGATCTCATGTGTCAGAGAGCTGTGTCTGTGCGTGTGGCTGTAGCAGGAAGTATGATAAGAGTCAGTCAGTTAGCGAGGTAAGGTAGACACAGTCAAACTGTCATTCACTTAATACTGAATGTATAATGACAGTTAGCTACAAAACAACTCAGTAATGAGACTAACTTACACTGAAGCAGAGAAAATATCACATTCAAAGGAGACCAGCCACTGCCACTGCTGCACTGCTGTTTCCTGTTATGGTACGACCGATATATTCCTCCGGAGGAAATGTCAGTACTCGGAACTCATGACAGTCGCGACAGGAAATGCCAACTTTGATACGTACAGACACATTTTCTCTTTGGGATGACTGCTGGGATGTTCCTGGAGGTTATTTAATCCACCTGGATTTATAAAGGCGGATTATCACTAGTCAGAACAGAACAGAAACGAGGATAAAATAAATGTTGATGTTTTCTTGGAGGTTTGTCTGGACTGTTATTAAAGTTTCGCTATCAAATGTGCCTCATATATCCAGTCTAATGTACAAAAATGTATTGTGACTATATTGTGTCACATGGGAGAAAATGAAACTTTATTAGACATACCTCAAATAAAAGGAGTTGAAAAAAGGGGAAGTGTTTCCTTAGACTAATAAGGAGCCACAAAGCGAAGCCTAAGTACTTCCGGTCACGTCTGTCCCTGATTTCACAATTAAAGCATGGCCGAACACCTAATCTTAATTAAAACATGAGATGAACCAATATAGCTTGATAGTATGGATAATAAAATGATTCTCCGCCATATAACAATAACAAAAAAAACAGTACTTAAATACTTTTTGTATTGTTTGATGTTTTCTGTATTCTTTTCATAATGTCGTTTAAAAAATAAGACCCTTTTTATTATTTAATTATTACATTATTACAAAGTAAAAAAATAACCGTTAATATGTCATGACCATTGCACTGGTCTAAAATTCTGAAAAATACATCCCATCCTTTTATTTACTATGAAAAGCGGAGACCCAAAGGATCTATGCGTTAAAGTTCAGAAATTATCATTTTATTTTGAAGGTTAAGGTGACTCTCGCCGGAAGTGAAGCGGTAGCTGAAGTCCATTGATCTCTCGTTGGAGCGGAAGCACTAGCCAGATGGAGTCACACTCGCGCGAAAAATGGCGGAAATGTGTGGTTTCTGCACGTTAACAACATCAGCTCTTCAAAGCGTTGCTCCATAAGCATCATCCTGTGTTTGTCTGCACGCGTGAGTACGTGATAGCACTGAATATTTCAACAAGTTGTGTCCGTCCACTTTTTCTTCGCTTGTGTTGTTGAGAGAGTTCGTGTCAGTTTAGTTTATAGTGGGACTGAACTCGTTGTCCGTTTCCTTCCTGTTGAACGACTGATAAATACCCAAGTTTTTTTCAACTTACTGCCATCTGTTGCTGTTAGTGTTTAATTTTTAAGTCCCAGTAGAGACCCTCAGTAGTGCACTTAACTTTAACTGTGGTGACAAAGTAGGAACCAAATATATGGTGCTGCTCTTGTGCCTTGTACGATGCAATAATGTATGCTTTTAACCTGCTTCCAGGTGTGTCACAGCTGTGTCTTTTATATGTAAGGCTCTGGGTTTAGAGAGGAAAGCAAGATGCAAAAAGGTATTTATTACAGTCAATATTTCTGACACTGTTGAGTGTTGTTTCAATGAAGTGCATCATATTAAGTGTTCATCATTGTCTGTCATTTACCCCCTCAGATTCAATTTCCACCTCTGGCCACGTGATATACAATCAAGCTCAAACTCAAGAACCCTCTATCAAGTCTTTCCAGTGTAGTCACTGTACACTTCTCTTCAAATCCAAGGTCTACCTTTTTGAACACCTCAACAAGGTGCATGGCTTTGATGTAGATGTTGCTCTCAGAGATGCTGGTTTAAAAAATGCTGGAACTACCAAAGCCAGCACCGACAACGAAAGCAACAGTTCAGGAGATCATTTTGAATGCCAGCATTGTGATTTTAAAGCTCGCAGTCGGGACGTTTTAAATGAACATGACAAACACTGTCAAAATAAAACCGAGGATCAGAATGTGATAGGAAATCTAATCAGTTCTGAAAACCACAACACCAAAAATCCTTCGACGGACCAGATCAAGGAAGCTGCTGGAGCACGAGCGATTTCCTCCACTCTTTCAGTTACGTCTACCTCAAAAACTAAATGCACACTTATCTCATCAAAGGATGTGAAAACATACAAGAGGCCATTGCAAACCATCACCAAGTACTTCGTGTCATCTTCTGGATCAACTGGGAAATCCCCAGTGAAGTTAACTGACAGCACAGTGCTTCTAGATGGCACCAAAGAAACCTTGGTTTTGCAAGAATCTCCCCAAGACTCCAGCCCAAACAGTAGTGGTGTGTTTAAAGTCACTGCCAAGCCCACGATAGATATCTCTGGATGTAAATCTGACCGTTTTTTGCTACGCGACCAACTTCTAGTTAGTGACCTGCGAGCGCCAAAGCCTGAGGAACAATATGAAGGAACAGTTCCTAGCAATGTTGGCAAGAGGACCAATAATGAAAGCTCAAAAGGACCTCCTGCTAAAAAAGCAAAGGAAGAGACAAAGAGAAGAGAGAAAGCCGATGCAAGTCAACAACAACAACAACAATCATCAAGTAACACAGAGTTTTCATTTGAATTTAGTGAAGATGAAGAAGAAAAGAAGGCTAATCTTGTTAATGGAGACATGAAAAGCCCAAAAGTTTATTTTTGTAAGCACTGTGACTACACTGACGTTAGCATCAGACTTGTGTCAACCCATTATCAGAACAACCACCCTTATGTAAGATATAAAACCGTTTACATTCAGGAGCCGAGTGATCAAAGCGCTACCTTTCGTTGCCTGGAGTGTCCAGTTGAGTTTTTCAGTGTAGCTGACCTCAAGAGACACTATACGGAAAATCATCCAGAGGCCCCAAATGTATTCACGATGCAATCATCTGAACTCCGTTTGCTTTTCAAATGTTTTGTCTGTCAATTTACCACGACTGCATTGAAGACCTTGATAAAACATTACAAGCAAACACACCCAACACACAAAGTGGACAATTCCTTGATGTACTGCAGATACTCGGTGACTAGCTGCCAAGAGGAATCATCACAGTCGAATACAAGTAAAAAAGCGCCCAGTCCAGAAAGACCACAAGGTCTTGAGAGTGCGCGTGAACCAAGTAAGGAAGTCAAAAATGCACCCCCACCCCAACATCCCAGCTCCAAAAGAGCAGAAGGGGCATTGTATCATTGCAACAACTGCAACTTTAGTCACAAGTCAGCTGTAGGTTTGCATGTCCACTACCAAAAAAATCACCCAGATGAAGCGGTCACAATAGACACAATTAAGCAGTCAGCTCGTGCCACAACATCGCAGATGATGCCTGAAAAGTCCCCAGACTCTGTGACAACAGTAGAAAAATCTACATCTCAAAAAAACACATCCGGTCCTTATGAGGGGACAAGAAACCAAGCTGATCTTTCACAGCAAAATATTTCATTGTCATTGAGAAATCCTAAGGCCACACCAGAAGCTTCTAAGACTCGTTCAGAGTCTACAAAAACAGAAGGAAAGAAAGTGGAATTTTCTGAAGATAAAAGTAAACAAGTGAAAAGGCCTACCAAACGTATTATGGAAATGTCTGCTGTAATGGACAGTTTATCTAGTAGTTCAACAAATAAATTGTTTTACTGCCAGTTTTGCGGTTACTCAAGTACCAACATCAAAAGCGTTGTTAGTCATCATAACTCAAAACACGCTGCGCAGGAACCAACCGATATTGAAGAGATCCTGTGTCACAGTGCTAAGGTGCAGAAAAAGAAACTTCAAAGAGAAGCTAAAGCCTCAAAAAGAGCTGCATCTTCTGATTCTAAAACTAGCAAACAAGTAGAGGAACGTAGTGAAAAGGAACTTCAGCATAAAGATAATGAGGCAGCAGATTCTTTGGCGATGGGATTTAATGCTTATGCATGTGCAGAAAACTTGTTTTACTGCCAAAAGTGCAACTATGGAAATCCATCTGTAATCGGAGTATTGAGCCATCAAGCCAAAGTTCACCAAAGCATTAATTCCAGCAGGGATTGCATTATTGAACATACAGCCTCGGTTCGCGATCAAATCGAAAAATCTAAATCTCAAGCAAAGGAGTTATCCTTTTCTACTCATCTACCTCTTCCTCTTATGAATGAGAGTGATGGACCTGCGTTTTTCTGCCACTTTTGCAACTATAGACACAGAACTGTGCACGAGGTACTTCGACATTACTTCAAAATACACCGTGGATTCCTGGTTACGGGTGAACAAGTTCGTCTGTATACTAATATGGTTCTCAACCAGACACAGACAATTGCAAACCAAGAAGTCCGTCATGCATCCCTTGGGGAAAAAGAAGATGAACAAGACAAAACAAAAAAGCTTGTCAAAGTTTCTGCCTCACAAACACAGAGGACCCTTCATTGCCATAGATGCCCATACAGCACTCAATATGTGTATCTTTTAAGGAGGCACATGTGGAAAATCCACAAGGCCAATCGCTCAGTCACTGAGGTTTTAAAAGTGTGTTTTAAACGAGGAACTTTACAGACAGGGTATCACTGCGATTTGTGTGTTTTCTCTCACAAAAAAGCAGCAGCTGTGTATAATCACTACCAGGAACAACACCCAGGACGTAGACCAAGCCTTCAGTATGTTACTACTCGGTTGTATGTTGGTCCTGATGCAAGCCCTCCTAAAAAGAAGAAACCTCAAATAAAGAACACTGACCGTGGTAGCGACGGCGATGACACTGATGCCAGCTTACGAGCTCAAAGATCTGGGCAAAACGAAACCAAGATGTATTCGTGCAGAGCATGTTCGTTTAAAGGAAGCTCGAAGTCAGACATCGCATGCCACTACCGCGCTGTTCATCCTTGGTCTGTGAAAGAAGACGGCTCAGTCCTGGACGTCCTTAACAGCAAGAAGCCGGGTGCAAACAGGCAGGTGCAAGACCACAATGAAATGCCTTTGACATTTGATACCTACCAAGCGCCTCTTGAATTTGAAAATTCCCCTGGTTCATCTCATGAAGCAACAGCATCTCCCGCTACGTTCAAGTGTGTTTACTGCCCTGCAAAGTTTCCTAGCCAGCGTGGGCTCAACACTCACTGTGGAATGAAACACCAAGACGCTTTAGCTGAAAATTTAGATGAACAACAGGAAGAGCAAGTACAAACCCAAACACGTGTGCATGTCTTTAAGTGTCCACATTGTACCTACGTGAATACCAATTATCATGGAGTCCTCACTCACTGCCAGATGAGGCATCCTGTCCTTGCATCCAGGGCAGACAGTTTTTACGTGGATGAAGCACATGTACGCAAGTGGGAGCACTGTTTGAAAAGAAAAGGCCATGGCATAAGACTTAGTGGGTACATGTGTAAAACCTGCCCAGAAATCTATGCAACGCTGGAGAAGCTGAACAAGCACCGCGAGCAGGGCCATAAAGGGACTGTGGCAAACGCAGTGGCAAACACGCCACAATCAGCCCCTAAACCATCAGCCATGAGTAAAAAAAAACAATACAAGGCCCTCAGCAATCAGGGAACAGTATCAAAAGCTTCCTTTTTAAGTAAGAAAACGTATGCAGTGATTAAGTGCCAGTACTGCTCTTATGGTTGCAGCACACAACTTGCGCTTAGTCGGCACATGCACGTTCGCCACCAGAATGCATCTGTTTCAAAGGTTCAGGATTCTTTATACAAGTGTGCCCTGTGTTCCAGTTCCTATTTCAGGAAAAAGCGCCTTGGAAGCCATTATGCTAATAAACATGGAAAGGAAGCCTTCTTAAAATACTGTGCTCCACTATTCACGCAGGTGACACCAGCAACCACAGTTCCTGACCGTCCTTTAACTCAACAACCAGATAACAATTCTGAAGACATGACGACAGAGGATAACAAAATGTTGGTCTACAGGTGTCCGTGTTGTCCTTATATGAATGCTAGCTACCATGGCACTCTCACTCATTGCCAAATGAAGCATCCAGATATCGTAGCCAGGGCAGATGAACTTCAGACAGAAGAAGTTCTTGTCACCAACATAGTCAGTTGTACAATGGGAAAAGGTTCTAATACAAGAGGGTACGTGTGTAAAAAATGTCCTCAAATTCATGTATCATTGAAGAAACTTAAAAACCACTTTGAGAGGGACCACGGTCAGGCTATGGCAACAGCTTCTGAACATCCAGTTCAAAATGAAGCTGAAAAACAACCTGCTCATGGCTCTCAAGGGTCCGTATTGGAAGCTGTCTCTCCAATAGAAAACCAAACGTCAGCAGTGAGCACCACAGAAACTGGCCTCAGTCACGACTTGGGAACTCTTGAGACGTGTCAACCAAGCACAGTACCGAACAAAGTATTTCTGTACAAGTGCCACATTTGTACCTATATAGGATCGTGTCGGAGGTACCTGCATTGTCATTACAAAAATACCCACAGATTGGATGCATTGACCACACACAAACTGCTACAGAAGTATAACAAATATAAACACAAGGCCAGCAACTTGCCTGAAGCTGAATCAGAGGAAAGTGCAAACGTCAAATGTAAGATGTGTCAAAACTTAACATTTGACTCGTCTCAGCTGCTTATTGATCACTATAGTACTTTTCATAGCTCAGATTGCACATTGGACTTCATTGTTTTATCACAAGCATCAAAGAAAAGCACTGGACTTTACATATGTGCCCTCTGCAAGAAACAAATGAATGGAATCCGAAAGTTGTGTGATCATCTGGATCGCCACAGAGAGCAGAGGAAGAAGATGGCGGAAGCTGCTGAGAGAACGCCATCACTTGCCATTACGACAGCACCAGAGGCCAAATCCATCGAAGTAAGTTGAATCTGCCACTATGGTCATTTACACGGTTGATCCTTTGCTTCGTGCTTTTGCTACACTTGTAAGTTAAACAATTGTTGACAATTGCTGTGTTTAATTTCCAGCTCTGTAGGCAAGATGAACTGCCCATTTTTGAAACCGTGGCCGAACTGGCCCAGTGGAATGTGACACCAACAGAGACCTTCACTTTGCCAACAAGTCCTCTGTTGTCGCCTTCAAAACATGCCGATCTGGAGCAACCAGAGCTGGACCCGAGGGAAGACGAACACACTTGCAAACAGTGTGGGCGGAAATTCATGTCGCTGAAAGGTTTACGTTCGCATGAGCGCAGCCATGCAGCCCTGGCGGCCATCAAGAAAATGGACAATGTGTCTACCTCAGCATTAAAGCACAAGTAAGAAGAAACCTAGGCGATTTGGATTCAGTGTTTATGACTAGACCACAGAGTCTGTCAGCATTTAGCTATGTCAGCTATTCAAAACAAAAGTTTGAACAACATTGTTTATAAATGCTACATTTAGGTTTACGCTTACATATATGAGCTGTTATGAGAGCTCTTCAGTTGGCCTTATTTGCACACGCTCAGATAGCTTTACAAAGCAAATTAATACCATCACAGCATTGTATAGTACTTTGAAATGTATGAAAATTTAAAATACACTGCACAAATTTGATGTCATTCATATGCAGAGCCCCCAACATGTATTTAGTTTTTGATGAGGTAACTGGGGATATATCTGACTAAATGTTTTTGGTTTGTGATTTTGCCATTATCTCATCAGCATTAACAAATACATCATCTACAAAGCTGGGACAATACGACCATTCCTATGTAGCTTCTGTTCCTATCGGACAACCGTCATGGGCCTGTGGAGGAGTCATTTTATGAAAAAGCATCATGGTGAGTAACTTGTATATGACATTCAATACACTGGTATCTGTTTCATGTTACTACTCATCATCATATATGATCTCTTTTACCTGTGGGCATACTTGATCACAGAAGATATTGGAGTATCAGCTAATTCGTAGGTTATCTTGATGACATGTTGCACTTTCAAGGACATGTAGGCATACATGTTTTTACAGGTTTTCTCAAAATAAGCTGTTGCTGCATAGGTTTCTAGTATACACTCAGCTGCCAGTTTATTAGGTACACCTAGCTAAAATTCACCCACTCTAATACAACAGTTGTTATGCTGCTGAGTTGTTTCTGGGTATGTAAGTGCTTCTAACACTACTGTCCACCATATTAATGTCAATAAAGGGAGGCTAAATATTAAATCATAATCATACAATAAAATCAATCAATCTCACCAGTGAACAAGAACATTTCCATGCCAGTTTCAAACAACTTTACGGAACAGATTACGCAGCACTTGTATTATGATAATAATAATGTTTCTTTTGTTTTTGTCTTGTCCTTCCATGTACATACTGTGTCTTAATGCCCAGATGTCCTTATGGATACTGCTGAGAGTGACTACCAAGATGAGGAGAGTGCTGAGAGGGCTGACAAGGATCCCCCTAATTTGTCAGAGGAATTGAACAATTTATCTGAACTTGATGAAGAACTTGAAATTACTGAAAGCAAGTCATCCATATTATAAATCCTAATGTACTGTATATAACTGTCAAAACGCATATTAAATACACACTTTTTGCATTAGTGGCTATACAGAGACTGTATTTTTTTTTACTTTGACAGAATCGTACTTGGAGCCCCCAGATGTGCAGCGGCAGTTGAACCATTATAACTTGATGGCACAGGCTGGTGCTGCATTGAAAGTAAACGTCCAAGAAACCAGTTTACCTGAGAACAGCCTGCTTCACTGTGAAGTCTGCAATTTCAACACTGGACACCTGTCTAGTATACGACGACATTATCTAAGGACCCATGGAAAGAAGATCCTCAGGTGTAAGGACTGCAACTTTGTCACTGGTTTTAGGTAAGTTACTAAGTATTTTTCTTTATTTAAAAAGGGAGTGTTTTTGGACTGTGACAAGCTTCTGCAATTTCTGCCATGCTTCTACTGTAGCCTAGAAGGGATAAATCAAACACTGGCTCTAGATAGGACCACTCACACCGCTTTCATGTGATGTGAGAGATTTGTGACAGAAATATTTGTCACCAAAGCATCCATCACATTTTGTAACGGACATTCATTCTCGTAACTTGTTTTTCCTGCCTTTAATTAGGAAAACTCTGGAAATGCACATTCAGACCGGTCACTCTACCTGCCAGTCAGAACCTACTCATCAGAAAGACCTCCGCTGCCCTTTCTGCCTCTACCAGACCAAGAACAAGAATAACATGATCGATCACATTGTCTTGCATCGCGGTATGTTAGATGCTCGACAGGATTCTGTGTTCCCACCCCCTGACACCCTGATCTACCCCCATCTGTCCTGATCTGTCTCTTTGTTTCTTCTGTTTCCAGAGGAACGTGTTGTGCCAATAGAGGTGCGTCGCTCAAAGCTGTCACGTTGCCTTCAAGGTATTGTCTTCCGCTGTCATAAGTGCACATTCACGAGCGGCAGTGCTGAAAACCTGCGTCTGCACATGATGAGGCACGATGACGTCAAACCCTACAAGTGCCGGCTGTGCTACTTCGACTGTACTCGGCTGACCGACTTGGAGGCACACTTGAGCGATAAGCATCAGGTGAGGGGTTATAGCTAAACCGCTCTGTGCATCTCTGGAATTCCTCTGCATTTTAATAATGAATTATTCACTTTAATTTACTGGAATTTGAAAAATGTAAAGACTTAAAACTAAAAAAATAAAATAAATGATAAAAAATAAAATATGATGTAACATGTTTAGGATCCACATTCTAGCCCTTGAGGTTAAAGCTAGCACACTACTGTTGACAGACAGGACTGATAAAAACAGTTAAAATCTCACCTCCAGTTAAAATTTCACCCCCAGTTCTCACTGACCGCTTCTCCCCAACCCAGACTTCTGCTTTTGTTTTTTTCTCGCAGCAAAGCATCAGTGTTCCCACAGCTAGTGGTAGTCCCCATGAGATTACATGAGGTGGTACATTGTACATTGTATTGAGATTAGAGAAAATGTGTAGTTTGATTTTGTTTTTTGTTTTTCGTGCAGGTTGTGAGGAATCATGAGCTTGTGGGTCAGATCAGCCTTGATCAGCTGGAGGTAATGGTTGGCATGCCAGAAGAAGACGGATGTTTGTCTAACTTGGAGCGCCACAGCAATGACAGAGAGGACGTAAGAACAGAGAAGTTTGTATCAAACTTTAATGAAGTTCCACACGAGACACAAGCTAAGAACCCGGCAGAAAATAACAACATGGAGAATATTACGCTACAGATCAATGAAGCGTATCAGAATCAAGAGCAGGATGGGAAGAATGGAAATGAAGAAAACCCCGCTGAGAGCTCTGTATTAGACCTTCAAGATGAGAGTACAACACCAAACACCACTGTCCAACAGAAGCATGAGCAGGACCCACAAGAACAAGCAGAAATTATATTTTTGCCAGACTCTGCAAGAAGACAGAAGATAGAAAATACAGCAGAACAAAATGTTGGTGGTGGAAACAGTACAGATATCCAGCTTGAGGATCGCAATTGTCCAGAGAAAGAGAGGCAGACAAACGAGAACCAAGCCCAACCCAAACTCAGAGATGGTGAGGACAGCAGCATAACGCTCACTCAACAAAAAGAGCAGGCAGCAGAGGGGAGCTCAACAACATATGGTAGAGTAGCTGAAAAAGCACAGAGCCACAAGCTACATATTAAGACGTTAAAGCATAGGACGTTGAACTTTGAGGCTAGGATAGAAAATGATATATTGCGCCATATCCTATTGCTGGATAAAGAGAGCAGCAACACTTTGGCCCACAACCGAAAGAATCAAGTGAACACGGAGGACATTTCCGCCTCTGCCAAAACAAATCACAGGCTGGCGAATAACAACAGGGCTCCAGAGAGTTTTACAGTTGAAAGGCATTTGCTAACTATTAAGCCCAACTGTGGACAACTTAAGATAAGCCATAAGGAGATCTTAGGCGTCTCGTTTACTAAATGCAAAGAGGATCAAGTGAAAAATCAAAAAAACAGTGAGGAAGTAAGAGACCCTTACGGGGAAATGCCAGTACTTGAGAATGAATATCTGAAAGAAGAGATGCAACCTCTTTGCAAAGAGGAAGATAAGAATGATGATGGTGAGCAAAAGCAGGACAGAGAGATGATCGCCGAAGACAATGAGAAGGAATCTGAGAATCCACATGTGCCCAAAGGTAAGACAGTAAATTGATCACAGTGAACCACAATAAAGTCTTCTGAACATATTTGACAGAATATTTGGTTTGAGTTGTGATGAACAGTGGAGGACGGCCAATACGCTGCACCCATTGTTTTCTAAGACTGAACTCCAGCGATGTCCTGCCATACATCTGGGTTGATGCTTTTAGCCCAAGACGAGGCCTTTAAACTGACATCCTGACTACCATAACAGCACTACTTAGTACTACCACTGTCTGTATGACAGTCATCAGTGTGTCAGGTGATGTGACTCTGCTGACTCTGGTTGATTTTGTGAAAAATGTAGTAGTTCACCCTACAATCAAGTATAGACATTTTGCCTCTTACCTGAACTGTTATTTATCCATCTACATTGTTATGGTTTGGAGATGCCTGCCTTCTCTCAAATATAATGGAACGAGCTGGCACTCTGCTTGTGGTGCTCAAAGCCTTTGCATCGTTGCTGCAGCGACCGTGGGTTCGACTCCGACCTGTGGCCCTTAGCTGTGGCCTTCTCTGTATATATGTATTTTGGGGTGAACTGTCCCTTTTTAAGATGTTTTATTGGGCTGCTAGAAATAGTGACTGGCATTTATCACTGTTTTCTGACATTTTATAGACTGATTAATAGTTTCATGGGAGTAACTGTGGGTTGCCACTAGTTAGGTCTTGGAAATTACATGTGACACCAGCCTGAGTTCATTTCTCTTGTTCTTCAGGGGAAACCACAGTTCTGGATGGAGCAGCTACAGAGGAGAAACTGTTTACCTGTGAGTTTTGTGGACGAAACCTCACGAACAACTTTGAACTGCAACGCCACATTGTTCGACATGGAATATAACGATTTCCTTCACATTGCGGACGGTAGCGAGGGCTTCCACCGTGGATTTTTGTTTCGGAAGCTGTGTTTTCTTTTTATGAATCGTCCTCTCCTTTCTTACTATACTGTGTATTTCTGAACAACGTGGTTACAAATACATTTTTCATGTTTTGTAGATTTTAAACCTTTTCTAATGAAATGTTTTTTATGGTACAGCCGTTATTGGAAGGATTTGATTTGTTTACTCACTAACTAAAACTTCAGAACTAATATGGTAACTGTACAAAGTGCGTAAAGTCATTAAGGTGTTGTTTAGATTTGTTTAAAGACACTAATGGATATCCATGAATAACTATCATGTGAAGATCCTCCATTTTTTTATTCTTTTTTAAAAAAATTCTAATTCTTTATGTTAAGGAAGATTTTAATCAAAGTTTATTACTGTAAAACATGCAAAAATCAACAACAACAAACACTGTGAACTACTGTTAAATATAAACTGAACGTACTCATTCAATACCAAGACCTGAAACAACCTCAATACCACTGACTGTGGAAACGCTTCTGCTGCCTTCAGGTGCTGTTGGATATTTGAATATGAGTTGTTGTGTACCTTGCTAGTGAGCAATTAAACAGTTTCACAGTAATAGTACGGTTGTAACTTACATAATAACTGTATTTAGTTTGGTGTTTCATGTTAATAAACGTATGTTTACTTTTTAACCTGCCTGTCTGATATTTACCTTTGTTGTAAATAAACTGGAAGCGTGATTGCCACCCCTGATGTGTCTTTTCCTGTCATTCTGCTGCAAGTCCATTGTATTTGGGGTATTGGGCAACCACAAACAGACAACTTCTTTTATGAAATTATAATTAGTGCTAGTTAAAAATAAGGCAGTTGAACATGTCTGTCTCTCGCTCTCTCTCTCTCTCTCACCCCAACTGGTCGAGACAGACGACCACCCACCTAGAACCGGAGGATCTGTCCTAGGTTTCTGCCTTTTAACAGGCAGTTTTTCCTTGCCCTTGTCGCCAAGTGCTTGCTCATGGTGGTACTGTTGGGTCTCTGTAATTAATGTTAAAGAGTTCGGTCTAGACCTGCTCTATTTGAAAAGTGTCCTGAGATAACTTCTGTTATGAATTGGCGCTATACAAATAAAATTGAATTGAATTGAATTGAATTGAATTGAATTGAAATTGAAATTGAAATTGAAATTGGAATTGAACATTGAGCTGTTTGATCTCAGCACTCCAACCATTGCCCTTGGTTCATTTTTAGCTATTTTCTAGAAATTGATTGTATCTTCAAGTGTATTTCTATGATCTCAGAGAAACCTACTGTCTGCCCAAAACACTATGCTTCTTTTTTTTTTAAAAATATGTTTCCACAGACATCACCTGATACTGGCCTGCTGTTTGTGAACATGTAGTAGAAATCTATGCAATCACAGAAAAACATTTGAATATACAACCGGTTTCTGGACCACAAGTAAAAAAAACAAGTAATAAACTGATTTGTGGAGGGAGCAGCATTGCTCCAGGAATTTTTCATAGGAGTGGCCAAATGGGGCCCCTGAAAGTCTTTTGGGGGGGGGCACATGGCTGGCAGTCTGAAGCAGCTGGCTGGCTATGCATTAGTTTAATAAAACAAATAAAAAATGACACAGCTTTATACTGATTGAATGTGCGTTGTAATGTATCAGACAGCAGCGAATTATGCATATGAGATTGGGGGGGGGGTCTCTTTGAAAAAGCAACGCACGAGCTCATACATAGGGTCAGGAAAATCCTGAACGAGCGCGGAACGCGGAAATACGAGCTTACGAGAATGACCTGAAGGCATCACATTCGTCTGTGTGCGTGGGTTACGACACACTCTTGTCATCCAAATGTAAGAGGACACCGCTTCCTGGTGTGGACTAATAATAATGGACTGATGAGAGAGAGAAGGTAGAACTGATCGAGTCGGGTGAGTCCTCGGTGTGATCTGTTCTCATTTATTACTGACCTGCGGAAACTGTACGAGCTGTTACAAGGTTTGTTCTCGCTCTTTAAACTACAGTGGTTGTGTCACATAAGAGGTGATGCTGATAAATATTGGATAGTCTCACCGGATCGATAAAAACACTCAAACTATTTGTTAGAAATGTGATTTTATCAGAGCGGGACTAACAGTTTTAGATCTAATGCAGTTAAAAACATGTTTGCATGTGAGTGCGTTTACTGAGGAGTTCATACAGACTGGGATCAACTTTGATCTGAACATTGTAGCAGCATGCACAATTGTTTCCTCCTTCCTTGAGTTGCACCTTTTTCCTGTCTTCCCTGATGACTTACTGTAAGAAGTCATTAATGGAGATTGTGATTGTGCAACTTTACTGGAAGGCATCGACCTGTGTGAATATGTATTTGTTTACAAATGACATATGATGGATGCTTTCATCCATTAAGAGTCACCTTGTCATACTAATAACCTTCATATTTTAGCATGGGTAGTCACAGTGGACAGAAAATGCCAACACACTGACAAACTGCTGACCCTGTTAATGTTTCTACTGGGATCTACCCATTCATCTGCAGATTACTGACTTACTGTTTGCATTAAAGCTTCATTTTAAAGGTCCTTTTCTATAATTTTCTAGGACGTAAGTGACATGTAACTGTAAATCCATACGATGTTTCCTGGAAAGAACTGTATAATGTGGTACTAATTATTGACAAGATGGGCACGATCAAATTGCAGTTAATTATAACCTACAGTGCACATTTGCCACCTAAACAAACACATGTAAAGATTTGTCTAAAATCCGGCAAACAATTATAATATATACATATTTTTTTATTAAATATACGAGGAATAACATTTCCAATAATAAAAGAATAATGAATGGGATATTTACTGCTTAAGTCTTTCAAGGAAATTTGGGGAAATACTAGAAATACTAGCTAAACTCTAATAGTTAGTTCCAAATATGTATTTCCAGGAAACTTTTAAGTAAATGTTTAGGAAATTTCAGACTTGTAAAATGAAGCTGTTGTAAGTGTGGCATTTCCCCAATGACTAACATGTTCCTGTATACCTTGAGATTAGCTGCTCTTCTAACGCACTGTAACCTGTTTGTGTTTTACCTACGAACAGGAAGAGACACCATATTCAGTTGGAGGAATGTCAGCTGTAAACAAATCTGCAGAGGATGGCGGCTCCTTGTCGTCAAAGGTCATCAACATCGTGTTTATCATCCTGCTGCTGGACCTGCTGGGATTCACACTGATTCTACCTCTTCTACCTTCCATTTTGGACCATTATGCACAAACGGAGGTTTGTTTTGTTCATCCGAGAAACAACGTGTAAAGAGTACTTTTTGCTACAGCAGTACGATGACTTAATAGGCACTTTTGAAATGTGCAGGCTCATTATTATCAGAGCAGACAATAAAGTGATTATTAATGTTTTTTTATTATTTATTTGTAAGACACATTTTGAAAACACAGGGCAAGGGTTCAAAATTATGATAGTCTGTTTTAAGAAGAGATTTAAAATGTGATTTTTTTTCAGCTACATTTGATTACATTTAAATTATATGTTTAATATATTAGAAATAATTATCACTTGTGATTATATTTTCATCAATTTGAATCACCAGACTGGTTTGAAAAGACAGACAGCTGAACATAATTTTCACCAGTGTCTATAGCAACTGATTCCACTGTGGTAAAAAAGAGTTTTTAGAAAAAAAGAGTGCAGAATTTGATGCACATTCATTACAGAAAAATAGGAACTTTTACAGCTACATGCCATTTTTCTTAAAGTGTGTTTCTACCTGGTCTAATGTGTCTACTTTCTCAAATCTGAACAAAGCCACAACAACGGGATCTGTAGTAGTTGGTGGAGACAGACAGACAATGTGGAGAATTTGATGCACACTGTCCGTCACATCTATTGAACAAAGGAGGCTTTGTGTAAAGAATCTGTTTCATAAAAACCATAACCAGCTCATGAGTGATTATATTAGCAGTCATGAGCTGTGTGTGTGTGTGAGTCTGCGTGCTGACTCATGCTGAATTGACCTCTTTTCTCGTGTTTGTACTGCCCCAGTCTGATGTTGTATATTCTGTGTTTTTTCTCTCGTACAGGATGTTGTGTATCAGTCTCTGCAGAGTGTTGTGGACTGGTTCAGGGAGGCCGTGGGGATTCCTATGGAAAAGAAATACAACAGTGTTCTGTTTGGAGGTACTTGATTTCACATTCAACACAACTCATGTGACTCCAATAATTAATAATTAATTAAACATAGGATTTTAATAATACAAAGAAACCACCTTCATCCTTAATTTGCCTTTTAGGTCTGATCGGGTCGCTGTTTTCTCTGCTGCAGTTCCTGTCGTCACCAGTAACCGGGGCTCTGTCAGACCACCATGGCAGACGACCCTTGCTCATTCTTACCACAGTGAGTATAATGCCAACACCACTTTCTTCAGGATTTAATTGGAAGTTGGAAAAGAGCAACAGTGCAATAATGTCATTTCTTGTTAAACATAGAGTCATTCACTTGGCACAGTTTGTACTCTACTTTGTGTAAGAAATCATGCAGCCTCGCCATCATCACTGATTCATTCGGGCTAATTGGATGCCTTATGTTCCAGTTAGGGCTGATGTCTTCCTATGCAGTCTGGGCCGTTTCCCGGAGCTTCAGCATGTTCCTTTTGTTTCGTGTAATTGGGGGCATTTGTAAGGGCAACGTCAGCCTCTGCACTGCCATCGTGGCCGACTTGCCTTGCCCAAAAGCACGGAACCGAGGAATGGTAGGCACAGACTTTCTTTGTCATAATGTGATTGGATTCAGCGATTCATGTTTTCTGTCCCTTCTTTTCTTCAGACATTACTCTGTGATTACAGTGATAAGCCACTTAATGCTCTTGTAATTGTAAGTCACCTGTCAGATAAATGTCTTTTAACTTTGATTTTATCATCACCAGGCTATGATTGGCATCGCTTTCTCCTTGGGCTTCACCGTGGGACCTCTGATGGGTGCCTACTTCGCCCTCAGCTCCAAAACAACAGGAAATATCTTCTACCAAACTCCAGCTCTGCTCGCCTTGGGCTTCAGTATTGCTGATCTCCTCTTCATTTGGCTCATGCTGCCAGAGACACTCACGAAGGACGTCAAGGTTGGCTGCGGAAACATTCACACTGCCAACTGATGAACTGAATCACATACAGTTTTACTTAAGGGGCAGCAAACAAAGTGTTTTCAATTACTCTGACTTATTAGATCTCTTCTCGGGCTGGCGTTGGGTGGAGCTATGCTGGGAAATGTCACCAAACTCTGTGAGCTAATAACAATGATAATGGTGCAAATAGACCTTTTATCACAGGTAAACATAGGTGTTTAGTGTAGCAAAGCTTTTCCAGTGAGCCAACATGCACAATAGCAGCACCCTGACTCTGTTTGACCTGAATGGATCAGAACCTCAATTAGTATCACTGGTAACCTACTACTTCATTCAATGGCTGCTGTGAAAAAGGTCTATTGCCCTGACAGGTACTACCACGGTAAGAAAAGTGAGGAAGCTGTCAGTCTGTACACGGCCACACAGAAGAGCTCTAATCAGACAACATGAGTGGAAACACTGGGGCTTTAAAACATAGAATACAAATATGTAAAACATCAGAAATTTCTTTTCTTTCTCTCATTTCTCCTGTCATTTTTCCTCTTTTCACCCTAGGCTTCATCTTCAGGGTTCGGGGACTCCCGGGACCTTATGAACCCATTATCTTTGTTCCATTTTTCAGCTGTTACCAGGGCAAAAGATCCACCTTCCAAAGAAAGTAAGTACAGCACATACTGGATTCCTCTGTGAGGCAGAAGCTTACACCCATTTCACCCATTTCTAAAGCCTGATTGAACTTTGGCACACTGATAGAAGGTGGAAATGTCTTCACAGGAATGCAGAAGCTTCAAGTGTTGGGCCTGGTTTATTTCTGCTACCTCTTCCTGTTCTCTGGTCTGGAGTTCACGCTGAGTTTTCTGACTCACCAACGCTTCCACTTTACAAGGTATGAACTCAAAGATAAAGCTGTGTGCTCTGTCGGTTACAGTTAACACACCTGAACAACAACTTTTTGATCTTTACGAGCATCTTTCTCGCACTAGTATGCAGCAGGGAAAGATGTTCTTCTTCATTGGTGTCATCATGGCTTTGATCCAGGGGGGTTATGCTCGAAGAATCAAACCCGGGCACCATATCAATGCCGTTCGTATGGTAGGAGTACCTTCTGTTTATATGACAAATAGCTGTACATTAAAATACTTTTAATGCTGCTACAAAAAAACATGATGCACCACTGCATACTTGTCTTCTTTAATGAACCATGTTTCTTGTTTTTAGGCAATCATAGCATTAATCCCAGCGTTTATTCTCATTGGGCTCTCGTGGAACATTACAATGCTCTACGCTGGCTTGGCGTTATACTCATTCGGTGAGTTCATTTTACGCTGTGTGTCATTTTATTACAAATTCAACCTTTTATTGTACCCAGGAATGTGTAAAATATATAACTGATCAACTATGGCATACTGCACATGATTAGAGTCCCAACAGGAAACTATGTGCTTTAAGGACCAAGGGGATGAATGAACAAAAATAACAAACCCTGCATAAGTGATGTGGTACGATAAATCAACTTTGTGAGAAAAATAATTAGTAACTGGAGCAAGAAATCTGAAAAATAGTAATATAATAATTTAAGAGTAAAACAAGATAAAGTCAACACATAAAGGACAGAGCGTAACAATATAAGTTAAATGCAACCTATTCTGTAATTACATTATATGTGCTTCCTTTTGTTACAGCTGCTGCAATAGTTGTTCCATGTCTGTCAACGCTGGTTTCTGACCACGGTGAGCTGCTTGTTCATTCTTGGAAATTATTTTTATTTATTTTGATTTGATACTTCAATGTGCACACTGTTGCTGATTATCTACTGCGGATATTCTATATATTCTATATTGCTACTTTATTTCATTATTTATCTTTTATAAGCTACTCTTTGCTCTTGTTATCTCTTATTCTGCCCTTTCTGTATGTTGTTGCAAACTGCAATTTCCCCATTGCGGGACAAATAAAGGTTTTCTTATCTTATCTTATCTTATATTCCTCCAGGCTCGGCCAGTCAGAAGGGCACAGTGATGGGGATCCTGCGTAGTTTGGGCGCTCTGGCCAGAGCACTGGGACCAGTGGTGTCATCCTCGAGTAAGGAAGACAGATGGCAGTAAATGCTGCTAAAATCTGAAAAAAAAACTGTAGCAAATTTTATAGACTGATAAGTAATTTTGCCTGGTAGAAATTGCTTTGCTTACTCATTTTAACTGTTGTGTTTTCTTCACAGTTTACTGGATAGCTGGAGCTCAGATCTGTTTTCTCCTCACATCAGCCTCGTTCATTGTTCCTCTGGCTCTCCTGAGAGCAGCTGGGAGGCTAAAGGAGGAGTGAGAGACTCAAAGACTTGAAAGAGACATTTGAATTTTTTATAGTTTCTATGAATGTTATAATGTTTACATCGGCACTGACTTATTAAAAAAGTAATAAGGAGATTTATACCTTCTGCGCTGTTTAACAAGGATCATGACATGAAACAAACTGATGCAAGAAGACACGCACCTGCCAAAACAGAGGGAAGTTATTGTGGGGAATGATGTAATGCCTTTTTAATGTACACAATGTAGACCTGTACATAGTATGAAATGCATGGGTGGGTAACAAATGACATTTATTCTGTATCTTGTATATCATTTTATATGCAGTATTTTATCTATCACTCAGATTTTATATTTTACAAAGTACGCTTTTTATTTTAGCTCACTTAAAAAATGTGGATATTCTACTTTCTTGAAATTAAAAAGAATAAGAAGGACATTATGTCTATGGAAATTAATTATTATTTTTGTACAAAAAGGTTTTCAATAAACTTTATTTCATCGCTGGAAAGTAAATCAAGTACATGTGTGCAGGTATTTTACTCAAGTGCTTTCCATTTTTATGCTACTACTACATATATTTTACTCCAAAACATGTATCTGACTGCTAAAACTGTTTTTGCAGATTAAGATGTTGCATAAAAACTGTTTTTGCAGATTAAGATGTTGCATAAAAACATATGTATAGATAGTATAAAATAATTTTAGTCAACCAAAAAGTATACAAATTAGTAAACAATCTGTTACATCTCAACCAGATATAACATTGAAATACACAAATGAAACGTTAATGCATGAATAATAATACAAAGGGAACAGTCTGACTAAACACACTTTGAATATAACTTGCTGATAATACTTTTATACTTTTATTTTAAGTAACGGTGTGTATTTCAAAATTCATGGCTGGATTTATGTAGAAATATCCACCAAGGATGCACAAAATCTATTGAAATACAGGACTTAAGGTGTTATAAGCACTCTGCAGGAGCTGGCCCGCACATTAAATAACAATGCAATTAATAAGGTGTAGTTATATTGTACTTCAGTGGTGCACATTACTGATTTCTGTTCTGGGCTTTTGGCTGTAGGTTTGTAGTGTTATTTGAGCTTTCTCTTTCTAAGATAACACTAGTTAATGGTGACATAATATCACTGAATACCTGCAAAGACATATCATCAGCTCTATTATATATATCTCTGGTCCAGTTTGTAGCGTTACTGAAGTTGATTTGTCAGCTTTTAGCCAGAAGATGTCGCTGTAAGCTCTCCTCGTTGAACTCACACTGTAAACATCAGCTGTTTCAATCAGGTTCAACTAGCTGCTATGCTATCAAACAGGTTGCTTAGCCTGGATAGCCAGCCCACTGTTGAGCTACACTAATTCCTGCAGGGAGTCTTGACAGCACATGGAGGACCGAGTGAAGATGCGGACATGTGACTGCGTATAGGAAAACCTGAATATGGACAAGGTAGTTAACGAAAAGTGACGGACGGTTGTGTTGTTGTTTTTAAGCTAGCTGACAGAAGCTAGGCAGTAACGCTAACGCATGTAGCTGAACGTAAGCTAACTTTGAGCTAACTTTAGCTAGCTGGTGCAAACGTGTAGTTAGGTGGTTGTTATAAGTTAACAGCTGTTTTGACCACACCAATAACCTGCTGGTTGGGACGTTTTGTAAAATATTACATGTTGGCAGGTTACCTAAAAGTTAAATGTAGTGTAACTTTAGCCGTGCTAGCTGTTCATGTGAGCTGATAACTAAATAACTGGGATAAAAAGTTAAAAACACATTTCATGTGAGTGAAGTGTGAGTCTAAAGAGGATAAAGTGATCAGACAGTACTGTCCCAATACATTGCTTTACTTTAACTGCAGCCTGTAACGTGACTGTCAAAGGTCGTATACCAGCAGACAGACAATCTTTACTTTCCCCAGGAGAGCAAAGTATCCTCTGCTGTCCAGTCTTTTGACCACACACAACAGAGGAGACTGAGGAAGGGGCCTGCTGAGCACCACACAACCTCATCACCGCCTCTGATCTTACCTAATCCTTATGTGTCCGACCAGAGTTTAAAAGGGTAGGAGGATAATCAGGCTTGGATTTTTGTCATGATCAAAGTAATTAAGCACTTCACCTAGTTGAGGCTGAAGCACCCCCACTTCAAAGCCCCTTACTTGTGTGCATTTCTGACCTTTTGTTAAGGAACCGGTCTGGTGTGAGCCCAAAGCAGAGTCCATCCAATACAAACGGAGTGCCAGCAGGAAGAGGAGGAGATGTGTCGAGGAGTCATGGCTACAGCAGCAGCCGGCGCGTTCGAGAGGCCAGCAATGATTTCCTGCAGAGAGACAGGTCTGCACGGGATCCACAAGCAAAGGTTTGTTTCATTTTAGGTACCAGAGAAAAACAACTGACACAACAAACTGTGTTCATGTTATTATTCTTACTGATTTTTTGGTCCATTTTCCACAGACATCAAAAAGCAACAATGACTCAAATGCTCAAGGCAGAGTTATGGGCAAGAACTCACTGGATGCACAGAGAAAAGGTGAATAACACGCACGGCATTGTTAACTTTTATCCTGGCACCTCAGCTCGCGGATCCTATCATTTCCCGAACATAATTTAACGGCTTACACTTTAATCATCTTTTTAATCATCTTAATCAACTTCTGCTCGTAATTTGACCACAGGTTTTAGAGGCGCTCGACCTACCCCGAACTCTGCAGGGAAGTCAAAACCTGCACAGGCCGATTTGGTCCCGTTTGAAGTGAAGATGACTGATTTCCCGGAGCTGGCTGGTGTTCCTCTGGGCAAAGCAGGCCCTCCTCTTGTTCAGAGAGAGTGCTGGGGTCCAACTCCTCCACCCACCAACCCTCAAACACAAACATCTGTATTTTCCTGGAAGGTGAGCTCAATGAAATATCAGATTGTGCAGTTATCTACTCCAATAACACAAAGTTATATTCATGAATTTTGTGCTGTTGTGATTTTCTATTGAATAGTCTGGCAGGAGAGGATCCCCAACACAGCCTGACCCCCAACAAATTGCCACTAAGCCAGATTCCTCTGCTGCTTCATCAAGTAGGTGAAAGTCCCTGTGGCTAGCCGTTTAGTGTCAATAATATGTCTGGTATTGATCATCTGATTTATTTACTTATTTTTGTGAACAGGTCAGACAGTGGTGACTTCCTGGGCTAACGTTGCCTCTCAACCTCCAAAGAAACCTGTCCCTAAAGAGAAGACAATCAACAGCAATCAGATGCAGGTTAGATGACATAATACAGCTATAAGCTAAATGTGAGATCCTTTGTGAGATTAGGTTTCAGTGTTCAGTCAGCTCCATTAGACAGAAAGAAACCAAAAACCTTTAACTGGTTACTCATCTATCCTTTTTCTGTCACTTATCTGGTTCCAAGACTTGTTAATTTATTAATAATATGAATTACACTGAGAGAAATGTGATATAAATGTCAATATATATCAACATACTTGTAATTGTGTCCTCACAGGCTTTCCTTCAACCTTCTAATGGGTATCAAAAATGTACTAAACTGCACTCTATGTGGTTAAACATTGTTTTCTGTCACTTCATTTTTGTTCTCGTCAGACGGACGACATTCTTGCACAACAGGAAGACGGAGCTCCGGGGAAGAAAAAGCGGAAGAAGAAGAAGAAGAAAGCTAAAGGAGCTGGTGAAGACGTAGAAGCTGAGTCAGAAGGGCCACCAACTTATCAAGAGCCTCCAAAATTTGAGGTAAATAAAAAAAAAATCTCTTTATTTGCATTCAGTTCAAAAGCAAAACTCATTTAATAAATGTAAGTGTTGGATGGAAGATGATTTTTTATTTTTGTCTTGTCAGGATGAAGAGGAGTTTCCAGGCTTGACTGTTGCTTTTACTGGGATCGACAGATTCTTAACAAGCAGCAATGCAGCAAAACTATGCAATGAGGTACACACCATCACTTATTTCTCCTCCCAGATGTTTTCACATAACAATTGCAATACTGTCTCTGTAGGATTTGCTGAAACTGCGTATGGCATGGGTGAAGAATACACATTTCAACATGTGGGGTCATTAATATTAATTAGACAGTATTTAATTTGCAAAACCGATGTTGCGTTTCTTTCAGGAAAACCAAAGAGAAGGTGTGCAGCATCAGTCTGCTGACCAAACAAAGGAAAAATCACCTTCAGCAAAAAGCCAGCCCACAGAGACGGCTAAAAAAGGACAGGTGTGTATTTTTGTCTTACATTCAAATAGATCTTTTGATATTAACCTGGAATAAAAGTCTAGTTTAGACCCCTGTTCTTGGTCTCCTGATTTCTAGAAAGCTGAAAAGGCATCTGGGAAGAAGAGCAAAGTCCCTGTTCAGCTAGACATCGGAAACATGTTGGCCGTGCTGGAAAAGAAGCAACAATCTCAAAAAGCTAAGCAGGATGCCAAGCCAGTCATTCTCTCAGGTGAGTTATGGTCAGCTTCTTGGCCTCTGCTACAGTGGGGCTCCTCATTTCTCCTGCCTTCTTTGATAAAGATGATATAAAAGTACACTGGGCTTACACTCACTTAAAAGGTCTGTTGGTTCAGAGCATTAAAACAACGTCTCTTTTGAAATAATTTCTTTGTAGTTGGTGGAGGACTACCTGTTGTCCAGAAGCAAGCATTAATACAGAAGAAGCCGCCTTGGCAGCAGGATAAAATTGCACACAATCCCCTGGACTCCACCAGCCCTTTGGTGAAGAAAGGCAAGCAGAGAGAGGTGCCCAAAGCCAAGAAACCCACTCCTCTCAAGAAGGTAAGGTCACTCAGTCCACTCTAATACAGACGCACTGCATTTCGTAAGAATGTATTTGAGCCTTGTTCGTTTGTTTCCATCTGATCCTCAGGTCATTTTGAAAGAAAGGGAGGAGAGGAAACAAAGACGTTTGCTGGAGGAGAGAGGACTGCTGCCTGAAGATGAGTTCCAACCTGCTAATGATGCTGCAGAAGAAGAGCAGTGTGACACAAATGCCACAGGTGAGAGCAATCATGTGAAACAAATTAATTCAATGGATTCCTACTGTCAGTAATCACAGCTGGAAGTAGATTAAGGAAATCTTTGATTAAAACCAATATCTAATAATCTGCATTTTGTGCTCAGATGAGGTTGGGAGTCCTACAGAGGAACTTGATGACCAGCTAGAGTTAAATGACACAAACCAGATGGTGAAGGAGGGTGATGAAGAGAACGACAAAGATGAGACCGTAGAGCGACAAACCACCTCACCTGTGCCCTGCCCGGCCAACCGACCCAAAATCCACAGCAGAAAGTTCAGAGAGTAAGACTGTAAAAGCACAATCTTTGTCGGTTGTCTGTGTGTCCGCTGTGCGTTCAGTCACTGTTTCTCTCACATTTTTTGTTAATTTGAAATGTCTATTGTTGTCCATGTCAGCTACTGCAGCCAGATGCTGAGTAAAGACGTGGACGAGTGTGTGACGGCTCTGCTAAAGGAGCTGGTTCGTTTCCAGGACCGACTGTACCAGAAGGACCCCATGAAGGCCCGCATGAAAAGACGCATTGTGATGGGGCTCAGAGAGGTCCTGAAGCACCTCAAACTCAGGAAGGTCAAGTGTGTCGTCATTTCACCCAACTGTGAACGCATCCAGTCCAAAGGTACCATGTCCTTGTGAGAGCCTCATTGTTCTAATTTTTTTGTTTCTGAATGGCTGAGAATAGTACGTTTTGGAGATGCATTCAAGTCCAGCGGGAAATTTGTGTTCTTGTAAGAAATATTTGCATATGTTTATATCTAGAGGGGAGATTGTTAGGGTGCCCAACCTTGTAGTGAGGATGGTGAGGCCTTAGTACAGCTCAGAGACTCTCTATGAGAAGTTCAGCCACAAGAAGCAAAGTGTTGGCATAGTTTGGTTGTTTCTGAAAAAGTAATAATGGTATTTATTTTTATTTTCAATTTTATTTATAACAGTTGACTATGTCTAAGTCAGTGTGTAATTTGTTCTATATCTTCTATATTCAAAAAAGAATCCAAAATTGGACCTATTTGTTACTTCGTTATTGATCTATGAACACAAAAGTACACTAAAAATATTAGTTTTCACATTTATCCAGCTAAATGTGTACATACAGTAGTCTGATTATGACAGTTTTTGCATGACCTGGCATCCTACTCATTTACAAACCTGGAAGCAACAGTGTATAAATGTATACCATACTGTGATCCTGACACTCATAGAAAAATGTCACCTTTCACAGGAGGCCTGGATGAAGCTCTTTACACCATCATCGACACTTGTCGTGAACAGGGGGTGCCATTCGTGTTTGCCCTCTCCAGGAAAGCTTTGGGTCGCTGCGTCAACAAGGCAGTGCCTGTCAGCCTGGTGGGCATCTTCAACTACGATGGTGCACAGGTCAGGTCTATGTTCAGTCCATACACATGATCAATGCACCAATTAATGATATTTGACCAAGTATTTTTAAATAAGCAGAAAACGTCTTTCTTATCCCCAGGATGTCTATCATAAGATGATCGAGTTGTCGTCTGAGGCTAGGAGAGCCTATGAAGTGATGGTAACGAGCCTGGAACAGACCGGACAGGCAGAGACGGAGCAGGTGTTGAACACTGAAGAGCTCCAGATCACCAGCCTGGCTGAGGAGGCTGAGCCCAGTCCTGATGCCACAAACCCAGAGGAACCAGAATACAGTAAGTTACTCTCCTGACCCAAGGTTTGTCATACCTGTGCTTTAAAACCAAGTGAAAGCTTTAATTTTGTGACTTGACCAATTAAATCCACAGGGGAGATGCAGAGCTAGAGCATACAATAACAGATTTCACCTTTTCTGAAAGACATATAAAAATATAATAATTATTGTATTTGTATTCTAGTAAAAATTTGGAAGAAAATGTTGGAGAAGGATTACAACCACACATTTCTGAACTTTGAGGAGCAGCTGAGCTCCATGCACTTGGAAAGTGAATGTACTGAAAACGCTGATGAAGATGAGAAGAGTTGACAGTGGCAAAGCCTTCCGTGCCTAAAAAAAGAAAAGAAACAAACCCACTCATGCTGATTGCCATTTTAGAAGAAACTAGGATGGACTTAATCCCACATGCAGAGGAAGAGCAATGCAAGGTGCTCTGCTGCTGCAGTTCTCAACCTGGGGATTTTGTCAGGAAATTACATATGTGGCTGATGTCTGCAATGAATCATGAATTCCTCTCTGTTTGTTTTGAATAGCTAAAGTCATATGTTTTTTGTTTGAGTTGAAAGTATTTTAAGAGTGTGTGTGGGGGGTTATAAACTGGAGAGATTAACCACTCACCGACTAGGACCAAACCAGTCACTTGAAAAGATCCCACAATATGAATTTTCAATCATGTTGTCTATTAGCACCCCACAAGGATGGGCAGGCATTTATGTACTGAATGTGTGTCAAATATCAACCAGTTATTTACTACGAAGAAATGATCAGTGACGTTTTGACGCCGTTTAAACTTATGGTGCATTTTGTTTTTCTCTTCTGGGTTAGGTTCAGTATGTTTGTGGCATTTTGCCTTTATTCGACAGGGACATTAGAGAGATGACAGGAAATGAAGGGGGAGAGAGGATGGCTAGCATGCAACAAAAGATCCCCAGCCAATATCGACTGTCATTGTATTTGCACGGTCAGTGTCTTTTATATGGGCTCAAATAAGGGCCAATAAGATTACAAGCTTGTGAAATGATGGTTGTATATCACACTTGAGAAATTGTTTTAAATTTGTTAATGCAGAAAAGATTTGAGGTTGTTGGAGAACTGTCCCCAAACTGTGCATGCCACTAGTAGGTCCACATCCACACAATTTTAGATTTGTAACTTCAGTGTTGCACACAGTGTGGGAACTTTAAGCTGAGTTTCACACAGTTTTTTGCTTTGAGTTTGCACTTAAATGTCCACTAAAGCAGCTGATTATATGTAACTTAATTTTTTTCTCTTTTCTTCTTGATCTAATTTGTGCAGAAATGTATTTACACATTCTCAAAAATATTTCTATAACTACAAATCTTTCCTACACATTAACATAACAGTTTTTCATAGATTTCCCAAGCTCAGAATCTTATTGAACCGTGTTTAAAGCCCACAGTCTCGAATCCCTAGGCCACCGTGCTACACCTAGGTTCAGTTTAGAGTTAAAAATTAACCTATGCTCTGTCTTTGCATAAGAGAGGAAATCCTTTTTTGCATGACAAGTCAGAACTTTGTTTATTTTATCCTGATTGCACTACATAGTACAGACTGTTTTTTTATTCGTCTGAGACTACCAAAGTACTACACATTGTATGTTGTACTGCCTGTGATTACATGTGAATGGTAGCGTTTGATTTTCTTGAAAGAGGAAAAACAGCTAAATGATGTACAAAAAAAAAAAAGGAAAACATTACCTGCTGTTAACTTGACTCTGTTAAAAAGTTTAGTGAGTTTTCTGTTTACCTACATAGTGATGAAAAATAAACCATAAAATAGCATAATGATAAAACTGGACAAAGTGCTAGGTTTCCATCACATGTTAAAACAAAGCAATAAGTGATCAAAATTTAATTGAAATGGGCAAAATTAATTCAGAATTCAGATTTCAGGAATGAAATTAATATTGTATAGGATCTTTTTTTTTTTTTTTTTACACCAATGAAGATGTAAAAAATTACATTTATTTTGAAGTAGAAGTTGCTTGGGTTCATGCAAGGTAAACCTGATAGGATACTGAAGTCTTGCTGAATTATGTCAATTCTACAGGGAGGAGGGTTGACAAGAGGCAGTTTTATAGCAGACATTTTGAAAAAGCACTAGCATAACAGCTCTTCATTTAATAATGTCAGTTCCAGGGCTCGGATATATCATTAACATTATTAGCAACACTTTTTCTGTAAAGTCAAGATGTCTGCTATAGAAGAAAGTCTATACACAGTCTTAAGCTGCATATGAATCTTATAGCAAAGGTTCAACATTTTTGGAAAGATTTGTTTATGCTAAGCTAAGTAGCTCCTGGTTATAGCTTTACTTGTACAATACAGAAAGGTGATATGTATTAATTTTCTCATCTAATTCTCCACCTGAAATCAAATAAGTGTATTTCCCAAAATGTTGAACTAATCCTTTAAATGTTCTACTATAATGTGGTTCAATAAATTCTGTGGTAGTGAGAGACCAAACTGTGAAATGATAGGAATTTAGAACTGGATGATGAAAGGCCTAATAATGTTGTATATTTTTTTGATTCTGCTTTTGTAAACTGTGTAATATGGAGTGTAGACAACTTTCCTTGGTTGAATGGAGATGCAAACAATACATTATTTTTTTAATACATTAATAGACAGATGTTTCAGTGGTCACATGTTAAATAGGAAATTAAAATCCTTATGCAAGGAAATCACTTGCATAATGAGGACAAATGAGTGTGGGTTGTTAATATAGAAGAGGAAGAGAGGTGGACCAGGTATGCTTCCCTGTGGCATCCCAAAATCACAGACAGACTGGGAGAGTCTTCAAAAGTACAAATGTAAAAACTAACCACCTGGGATCTGTTTAGTTAAATGTAGAAAAAAATTAGCAAGAATTGGATATTTTTGTAACATTTGTCAGTCCACATTACAGTAAATAACAGAATTTTGGTCTGAATAAAGAATCTTGGAAAGTATTTGAGGGATATCTAAAATGTTCAATTTACTCAAAAATATTGTTTATTTGGTTAAAGAAAATGAGAAACATCTTCTATGAGATAACTGTTAAAACCATATTTAACAAATAAACCAAAGACAAAAAAATGTTTACTCTTCAAGCTTCTGTCCTTAAGGTGATAGAGCAAAAATAATCAGTTTAAACTGCACTATGCAAGTGCCATTCAAGATCACAAAATGACTAACAACAACATTTTAATATGCTATCGTGGTTTCTATGAAAATGACACCTTTGTTAACACATTTGAATTGTCTTGTTACTACCCTCCTTAAATAGATACAGGATGATTGATTAATTATTTTAAACCCCTTATACAAAGTGATAGAAAATCACCTCTGCAGACACTACACATGAAATGTCTCATTCCAAAAGGATGGATGTCCTGTCTCAAAGTAAAACTGAAATGTAATTTATTAGAAATTTCAAACTCATTCAAAAATGTAATCATTTGTGATTTTAAATAAAACAAATATGAAAAATATCGTGTAACATTTTGGGAGGAAACTTGGTATGTCAAGTGACTTATAGGACATTTTCTGACTGTGGCTCTGTGAGGCTGTACTTAAGCACACCGTGCTTTAAGCTAAACGTGTTATGGTTCAAGTTTAGCAAGTATAATCTTTACCATGTTCACCATCTGACTTCAGCATGTTAGCATGCTGACATTTGCTAATTAGTACTTAATACAAAGCACAGTTGATGTACTAGGTTAGAAACCAAAGTACTGGACATATAGAATGTTTTAGGTGAATTAGATGATAAGTTACATTGCCTGGTGGCCATGAATGTCTGTGCCAAATGTCATGGAAATCCATCAGATAATAAGGTTGTAACGATTATGTTCTTTATTGATGAATCTGTTAATAATTTGATAACAATTAGTTGTTTGGTCCATTAAATGTCAGAAAATGGTGAAAACACTAATCACACAGTAAATTACTGGGGACATTTGTCATTTGTATTTGGACATTGCATATAAAACAAAACTTTACATTAAAGTGGTGCAGGCATAGTTTCAACATATCCGCTATCGATGAGTCCTGTGCACACGCCCACTTTATGGGGTCCAGTCACATGAAGGTTTCTCGGCTTCTGAAGGGAACAGTCTGTGTAGTGGTCACCCTTCTCTCTACAGGAAGTGTCAACGGACACATTTTGTTTCTGCAGGAAGACCATATTGTCACTGTCCACCTTTTTCACCCTGCTGTAGTCATCGGATATGTCCTCTTGTGTCTGAACATCGGTGGAGCCAGAGCTGTGATGATTTTTTTTCTCAAGGATGAGAATATTGTCACCGTTCACCTCTTTCACTCTGCTGTAGTCCACCTGTTTCACATCTACCTCCTGTATGCTTTCCTCATGTTTCTGAATATCCACATAACCGCTGTTTGTGAAGGGTTTGCTGGCGTTCTCATGATTTGACAGACTCCGTTCCGTTGCTTCTGGGTTTACAAAGTTTATACTTGGGCACTGTTGTTCCTTCGTAGGCAGCTGGGATGGCTCCACAAAGTTATCTGTTTCATTCTTTGTTTCCTCAGCCGTCTGCCAGTCATTTTGGATGGGGGTTGACCCCTTATATTGTATTTCCGAGTCTAAGCGGAAGCCGGATGGCATAATCAAGCTTTTCTTTCTTTTTTGAGAATTGGAGGGATCCGGCAGAGGCCCATTGTCATTCTCGGTCACTATCAGGTACTCCTCCATCTGGTCCTTCCAGCCTACCATAAGAGGAAAGTTCTGGTTGATGATCATGGCATTGATGACATCTTCAGATCGCCCGCTCTGGAACAGTTTGTTAGGATTAATTCAGTACATTATCACCTACTCACTGTTATCAACTCCAAAGCAGCTTTCTAAATATGTTGATAAATTCAATGCAAAAGCAGTATTACCTTGAGAAGTTGAAAATCAACTCCTCTTATTTTTGGACCAGGAACAGGGGGCAGAACATACTGCTTCACACTGGGGGACAAAATTAAGTGGGTCAGGATTCCCTTATCATCCCGGTTTTAGATAAAAAGTTATTTATCTTTTTTGTAGTAGATACATACTGTTTCCTCGTCATGACCAAGATGCACATTGTTGCAATGAAAGGAATTGCAGAGAGGCAGGAAACCAATATCCAAAACGGTCTTCCGTTCTGAAAATCTAAATTTATAGAATAATAAAAAAAACATTTTCCAGTTATTATCAGTACGTGTAACAGATGCCACCTCCCTGTAAAGCCAAAGATGTTGTAAAGAGCTTGTGAGACTTACTGTTAGGGACCTTCACAAAGGTAGTGTTGGTCCACTCACTCCAGTAGCCGTGGTCTAGTCTGCAACGCACCTGGACCATATGCACCACCCCGGGACTGACGCTGTACAGGGTGAAATGGGTTTCTGTACCTGATGTATATGACTAGAGAAAAAAAAATCAAAAATCAAAAAAATGTTGTAGTCCGGTTTTGATCACTATTGGCTGAAACAGTGGTTGCAAATACAGGTAGGTAATACATTTGTTTTACTTAAAGTGGTGTATCACATGTCTATAGCACATACTGTGTGCAGCAGGAACTGAAAAGGGTAAAAATATAGCTGTAATACTTTTTGGCCCCACTGTGAAAGACAGTTAATCTGCATATTATTTCAGTTCAGTTTTTAACACTTAAAACTCACCTTCCACTTGTTGCTGCCTTCTTGTTTGACTCTTAGTTCATATTTAACGGTGACCCAGCCAGACTTGGTGTCCATGTTATAGGGATGCTCCCATCTGATTTGGATATTTGGAGTGTCCTCTTTCCCCTGCACCAGCATGGTTACATTTTCAGGAACATTGGGCTTCACTGTCAGGTATTGACAGAACACAAATTAGAGTCTACAGCGACACTAATGCTTATTTCAGGCTGTGCTTTGCAATAATTGCTAACATCAGCATGCCAAGTGCTAATATGCTGATGTTTAGCAGGTACAATGTTCACCATCTCTGTTCAGCATATATGTTATGGGCTTTTATTGCCTTTATTATAGCGAAAGCTGAGGATAGACAGGAAAGGGGGGCAGAGAGAGGGGATGACACGCTGCAAGGAGCCGCAGGTCGGATCCAAACCCTGGGCCACTGCAGCAAGGACTCAGCCTCAGTACATGGGTCGCCAGCTCTACCCACTGAGCTATCCGGGCGCCCAAATGTCTGTACAATTTTATAGCAATCCATCCAGTATTTGTTGACATATTTCAGCAGATAAGTGAAAACCGACCAATGGTGCTAGAGGAAAGGGGATCATCAATAACTATACAAAACTCAATGTCAATCCATTCAATAGTTGTTGAGACGTTGTGGTGGACCGACTAATCACCAATGCCATCCCTACAGCCGTGATGCTAGCATGGCAAAAAAAACAAAAAACTCTTTGAGAGGATTCACAGCAGCCAAGGGCATGTGCAGTAAGCGGCATCTGTGCTTCAAGGGAGCTTTTGAAGGTCCTTGGACATCAAATTATCTTTATGGGGTTATAAGAGACCACAAAAAACATAGCAAATACTTTACACATACATGATTTATGTTTTAAATATAAAGTAAATTTAGATCAGAGGGACAAGATATAACAGTGGAGTTACTATTTTCTTACATGTGACAGAACTCCATATGCATTGTAACTACAGTACATGGAGGTCACATACAAAACTGCTTGCATAGCCAAACTAAAGAAGTGAAATGTGATCCGAGACTGTACACAAGTTTTACATTGGACACAAACCAGTTTCACAACATTCTGTTCAGGTTTTCATTCGCGCCTCGTGTCTGTCACTCAGTACTTTTCCATTCCTTACTAAGCCCAGGAACGCTGCACAGTCAATAAAACTGTGCCAATCATTATCTGACTCAATACAGATAATGTTCTGCGGTGTTACCTTGTACTCTGATGACTACATAGATCTAATCATTGTCAGTAGTTCAAAGTTTATCACTCCAAACAGATTAAGCAATTCTTAATTATAATTAATAATAACTTTTAAGTTTTTTTGGTCACATTTGTGTGGGGAAATCCTACTTGTAGGAAGAAGTAGGTCACTACTTTTTATAGACATTGTAAGTAGTAAGTAAGTAGTACAGTGCAGAGCCAACCCCACATTCACATTGAATGATATTCTACATATTCATCATAACCAATTAAAAAACCTTTAAAGCAGTTTAGAGGATATTTTAAATATACAGAAGTTTGCTTTACTGAAATCTCTATTCAAATACAGACTCTGTTGATGTTTATATCTTATCTTTCGAGGGTTTTTGAGTGCATCTATTACAAATAGGGGGCACATATGTGTCAGTGAATAGGAACATACTCAATCTCTATTCCCTCTTCTTCTTGGGAGTAACAACTTACTGATTTCCATCACATCAATCTTAAGGGTGTCTGAAGTGGCATTCCCGAGGGAATTGAAGGCCACCACTGTCAGGTAGTAGTAGACCCAGATGGAGGTGTGACTCTTGTTAAAGAAACAGGAGTTCCTCCCAGCTGACAGGTAGTCCGGACACTCGTACACTCCCTCCAATCTGTACGAAGACAAAGCAAGACCTTTACTGACCAGGATATGAGTAAAAACTTGTTAGGACATTCTACTTACATATGTTTACAACAAGGGCAGCATTGTACAACTGTGCTATTGGCCCTCAATAAACAAGTATTGGGTTTGACTGATTATCAGATATGTCTCAGATGTAATGTAAGGTGTTGTGTTGTAAATTTTTTGTCAAACCATAAACTTCACATTTTATGTATTAATAAGACTGAGAGTCTACAGCCATGCATGGCTCTGTGACACCATGATCACCATTAACCATGTAAAGCACTTTGTGTATATTTATTATTATTATCTCATCAGCTGAGGTTGATGGAAATGTCATCAATAGTCAAAATCACATTGTTTAATTCTTAGTAAATAGCTAAATAGCTCTCCAGTAGCTGTAGAGATATTTCAGTCTGGACCAAAGTTGTGGATGAACTGACTGACGCCTCCATGCTTGAAAAGTCTCAAACTCTCAGGATGGGCATTTTTCCCTCTGGCTAGGGCAAGTGAGGGTCACAAAAAGTGTTTGAAGTCTGTAGGTTTACTTGCACAGCAACAAAGATTTGTGCTCAGCTGACTGAGCACAAGTGTGTGAACAAAGGAGCTGGTAGTTTTCCACTCACCTGTCTACAATACTACTACTGAAGAAAAGAATTCTAAGAATTCAATAAATATAAAAAAAAACGTAGTAACTGGACTGACCTTTCTGTCTCGTAATAGAGGCGGTGCGTGGTCGGCAGCCCTCCGTCGGAGCCTGGCTCCCACCAGCAGGTAAACGTCTCCTTCTCAGGGGACCTGCAGCCAAGCAGGACTGGTTTCCCTGGTGGAGACATGCCTGGCAACACGTGACAAACAAGCGTCAGCTCCCAATTCCCAGTTTAGCATTAAAACGATTTTAAAAAGAGACAGAGTGTTATATTAAACAAGGGGTGGTTCACAAATGAAAAAAAATATTTCTCAACTACCTTTAACAGTATCTATCCATGCAGACAGTTTTGGTTTTCTTTGCCACACACTAGTTCACACTGCAAAGCCTTAGCACTCTTAGTTCTGATTGATTGCTCTGATCTGTTTGTCTGTTTGTTTGGCTGTACACATTGTTTTTAAAATGTGGCCCATATCAAATTCCAGTGTAAACAGTTCACAGACTTGAAGTGACCCGCATGACAAATATCCATCTAGAGTGACGTAAAAGTCATGTGAATTCTGATATGACTGTTCACACAGAGGTCACATCGCATAAAATCAGACCTGTATCTGATTTCATATTTCCACTGTTCACAGCCATGAAATTATCTGAGTTATATATTGCAGTGTGAACGTAGCCTAAAGTTTCTTCTTCCACCAGTTCATGACGGTTAATATTGTTTGTGCACACAGAATTGGAAAACTGCTGTTGAAGAATTCAACAGTGACATCTATGCGTGTGTTTATATGCAAATTAATGAGTTGATCATATTCAGGATAAGGCTTTTAATGGAACAGGAAAAACGTATCCCTGTATACATGATCAGAGCAGTATCCAGGTTTTCAGATCCGCTGCTTGCAGGTGTGTCTTGATTTCTCACCATCTCAACCAAGAAATTACGTTTACATTTGCAAAACATAACCAGCATACTCCAAAAACATGTTCATAACCAGGATACTCTATTTACTCTCTTCAGCTGTTTACCCTCTGTTTCCAGTCTTTATGATAAGCAAAGATAACAGACTGCCTTTATATTTAATGGACGGATGAGAAAGGTATCAATTGTCCATTTGAAGCCAGCAAGATTACCCTTGTGACATTTTACGGCTCTTGACTGGGTTACTTATTCAGGCATGACACCAATATGTTACATAAAGATGTATGAAAGGACAAAAGAGATCTATTTATTCGGCAGAAAGTAGATCCAATTCACACAATACAGTGAGATCTGTGGATTATGCAGATAATTTTTTTAATGTAATTTTCCAATGCTGTGAGCACTGAAGAAATCTCAGAGGCCGATCTCCTAAGCTGCATGTCTAAGTCTATCTACCACTGTAGGTGGTATATGGATCACTCTAATGTTTGGGCTTTATATAATTCATATTTTGAGAGAACCAACCCTTTAAACAACAATGTTGTGAACCTACTGTTGGACTCTACAGCTGTTAACAGCAGCAAGAGCAGCGCCACTCCAAGGTGTCTCCTCATCCTGGCACAAACTGTCACAAGTGCGTCCTGAAAAAGGAAGTGACATCACCAGCTTGTGGTTAATGAGGTCATATATACACATGGTCAGTGGTGTAGAGAAGGGTATACGCAGGTATACAGAGTAATACCTTACTTATATAGTCGGCATTGGGTATACCCACTTCTAAATCCTCTCTGATGCAGCAATATTCTGCATGCTAAACGTTTTCCTAGGATGGTGAAGGCATGACATAGCTGTCCAATTTCCGTAGGAATACTCTACTCGAAATGCATAATTATGTAGTTGTCTCACCCGTCTGCGGGTCAGTACTAACAGCAAAATCTGCTGTTAGTAGCTTTACTCCCTGAACAATTAATTTAAATACTACTGGCTCATATTTTGGTGAACTAACTATGCAAGACTAGTCTTAGATGTCAGGGCGTTTATCCTTTGCTGACAAGCTACTTAAAAAAATAAATTGGGGGCATAAATTAACAGTATACCCCACTTCTCTAAGCACCACTACACCAACTGGCCATGGTTTGGCTGCTTGACTTGTTTTTACTTAAAACAAGGAGACATGAAGGTAAAACGAGCACAAACAATACTTGTTTGTAAATGTTGTAGCCAACACATACAGGCCATCATGCTGATGAAATATGATCTACGACTAAAAATATGAATTAGTATGCAAGTTATTATTATTATTATTATTATTTGACTGACAGCATCATATGACCGCTTTCATCAGTTTCATCAGAGAAAGGATCTGCAACGTCACCCAAAAGGGTTACAAGGTGAGGAATATTACTGGAGCATCTGGTTTCAAAAAGGAACTGGATTCACCAGAATTAGCCAAGCCTGAAAAGGATTATCCTGTATCCTTGGTGGTTTCGTGCTGAATCTGTCAAACAAACCTTGAATATATAAAAGTTCTCCTCCACTCAAAAATTTGTTTCTCTCTTTGTTCCTTGATTGTGGCTTTACAAATAGTCTGAAGTGAACCCTGGTCCATTATGCAATTTATACAAGCTACCAGTGAGTATACGCTGAAGATATGAACAAAATGTGTCAATCAATATTCAGAGATTCTGGAGGAATGTAAAAAATTATACTTTATTTGACAGAAAACATTAGACATTATTGTTCCAAACAAACTATTTGTATTTGTCGTATGTAAAGGGGATCTTTGATGGTCAAGAATATAGTTCAGTCCTAAATGTTGACTGCTAGGGATAAATACTTCACTGCATGTTCTGACTCATCTCACTGACAAATATCCCTCTGTGAAATATAACCCAAATGAACTTTAGATCATTACTGAATGTACTTCCTTATTCCTCTGAGCTCACCAGCATACAGTACGTGTTATAATATGACAGAGTGTCAACACACTCAACGCGCTTATTTGCCTCCAAGTCCTGTGCTGATTTTCTGCATGTTTTTCTTTGAAATGTACCAGAGGTTGAATGATTGGCTCAGAGTGAAGATGTCAAAATGCTTTAAGCAGTTAGTCACCTGAAGGGGTGTGGGAAAGCTGCCTTCATTGATTGGCAGCCTTTAATGTACAAAAGGGCTACACCTTTTCAATGTCTTTTCTTATTATTATTGTGTACAGTAACCAGAGTGACAACAAGCTCGGTTTCCTGTTGCCATGCCTGCTCTGACAAGTTTTAACAGTATGGCTTGAGCAAAATAGATGTCAAAACGAATCGACTACCAAATGCCAAATATCCAGTTTCACACTCAGTCTAAGCAGTGTGTCTGGGGCAATACTATTATATATGTACTATAATATTATTTCTACTTGCTTTTTTAAATTCTCATAATATATGTTATTCCATTCACTAAATTACACAATGGCTGAAGCTGAATAAACTTTAAATCTAACCCTGAGAAAAATCCTTGTATTTAATTAATGTTAGTATTATTCCATGCTGTACCATTTAATTTACACACACGTACAATACTCGCTCTTTTCTATAAACTACAACTCTTGGTGTAAATTGAAAAGAAAAACAACTAATTCCTATTATAATCTCTATTAATATTTAAGTAATTTATCATTTAAAAAAAAACAAGTTTTAATACTTGTAAGGTGTTTCTATTAGGTTTTTGCTGTTATGGTGGACAAAATAATAATAAATAAAACACAACAACCCAATTTTCCATGGTATGGCCCACACACACACACACACACACACACACACACACACACACACACACACACACACACACACACCCTTTAGAAGAAACTGAACATTATACGCTAAGTTAGACAAGGGCAGTAAGTCTGCATACAAACAGGTTAATACAACTCTGGTGTTTACTCACCTCACTCTCCAAATTAGGACGGGCGTCGAGTCGACCTTCGCCACTTTGTTAATAAACTACATTTAACTGCTGTTGACACAACGACAACCTTCTTCAGTCAGGACATTACTGTAGGCGACCCTCACACACCTGGCAACCGGTACGTCTGTCAACCCAGGTAGGGTATATAATGAGGAAGAGGTGTCCTCTTAAGCCGTGAAGGGGAGGGGTTTGTTGTGCACGCAGCCAGAGAGCGCAGCGGGGTTGAGATGTTTCACTTCCACCTGATATTATGTGACAGCGATACTGCGGCATCCACCACGAGTACTGAAGTCATAACTTAAGACAAGTGGTCAAATATATTAACGTTACACATAAACATATAAATTAATTGTTTAAGCTGTGTTTTTTTATATCAAATCATGAATTCATTCTTTTCAAATGAGTTGAGCAACAATCTCTCCACATCCCCCCTGGCAACAGCAGAAGTACCACCTGGTGGGGCAGGTACACCTGGTTTGAAAACCACTGCCCTAATGCTGGTAGCTCAGCAACATCATACCATTAAAGAAATTGCATATGCCACTGAAACAGCAATGGCATACCTTTTGGTGTAATAGTTTAAGATCAGGTCAGCCATTTAAACAGTGAATAATTATTGATAGGAGGTAAAAAATTTAAATTAAAAAATAGGTTATTGGAACAACTTATCTTAAACACTGAATCCTGAACGCAGTGTATTGTAGCCCACCTGCAAATTACCATTAAATTGTTTAGAATTTCACAAAAAAAAAATATCTAAACATCCACCTACAGTGGCTCATCTTGAAGCATAAACAATCTTTGGCAGAGCGAGGTTACTGGTGTAGTTGTATCTGTATCACCTCCAGGACACGAACTTCTTGTCTTAAAGTAAACTGTTGTAGCACACTCGGGTAGGTAGTAGGTTAGAAATTATTTGAAATTGAAAACCGCAGAAACTCGCAGTAATAATGTTATAATGTGTGTCTGGCACCCAACACTGTAAGCTATTTGGATTTGTTTTAATAGTGTATACAGTATTGCACATGTACTGTTATCAGTCCTGGTACAGTAGCAGCAGATATGGCTGATAGTTCATTTTACTCTCACAAGAGTCCGGTATAGGTTAATGAGTTGGGAAAGCCATGCTCCTGTATCGACTGCCAGGCAGCAACAAGGAGAACAGTCTGTGCAAAGTAGGTATAGAAAATACAATAAAGTAGTGATTAATTACAGCTTATAAACCCTTCATAATGGATGCAAATATTCAACCAAGCATACACAGATACACAATGTCACTACAATGTCCACACAGGCTGAAACTGTCCATACATAGTCAGTCTGAGGACGTCCAATGAACATACAAAAGTAGTTCAATAGTACACCAAGCAGCACTCAAGAGGGGCACATAAACCAACCACTACACATAGCTTTAACATCACATTACATTTAGGTCAAAAGGTAGATTTGTTTTACTGTCCCAGGTCCAACTTCTGTTTTGGGAAATAAAAAGGGTAAACAAAAGAAAAGGACAACTTTTTGACCCCACTGTGTTAATGTGAGTGTTCAGGAATGTGTTTATTAACTGGCTGCTCTCTTGTTTGACGCTTTAAGTTCACTGATGAAGAGTAAACCTCTGGAACCAAATCTAATGTGGTTGCATTTTTTTCTTGGATAGGTCACTGCCGATGATGACGTACAAAACTGCCTGCATAACCAAACAAATGATGGGAAATTTGATCTGAGACTGTACACAAATTTTACACAAAGCAGCTCATTCAGTTCAGGTTTTCATTTGTGCCACCTTGTGTATGCTGTCACTTCTTTTCCGATCCTTACTGAGCTCAAGAAGGCCGTGCAGCCAATACAACTGCCAATTATTAGCTGTATAATCAATATAGATCATTTTCAGCTGTGTTAACCTCTGTCTACACAGACACGGTAGTCGCCGACAGCTTAGAGACACAAATGTTTTAATTAACTAGATGTTTTAATTTTGAGTCATATGAGTCATTTTGACAATAATCCATAAAGTCTAATAGTGGTCATTACTTATTATAGATATTGAACAGTCAGTAGCACAGTGCAGAGCCAAACCCACAGGAATGATATTCTACATATTTGTCATAACCAAGAAAAAAATGCCAAAAGCAGTTTCGAGAATATTTTTAATATTCAGAAGTTTGCTTTATTGAAATTATCCTTCATTCACCGTCTCTGTTATTCTACATTGTTGTTTTCTTACTTGAAAAAAAAAAACAAAAAACATGCTAACATTTGCCTATTAGCAATAAATATAAGGTACAGCTGAGAATGATGTCATTAGTTTTGCATGTATTAAGAATTTAATTAAATATCAGATATTGGTGGCACTAGTCAATTGGCTGGGCACTATGTATATCTGTATGAAATTTTGTGCCAAAAACTTACTGGATCAAACAATTTACAGATAAATAGCTGCAGAGTTGTTTTTAAATAATTAAAAGTTGATGAACATCAGCTTTTAGTGTTGAAGTCTTAAACAGTCAGTGTTGGCATTTTGCCCTGAGGCCAGGGTGATTGAAGGGCAACTGAGGGTCACACAGGTTTACTTGCACAGAAACACACATTTGTGCTTAGGTGAATGAGCACCAGAGCTGGACTTGATTCCACCGGGCACGGCTCTATTACACTGTCTCTGCAACGTGAGACTTTGTTCTGTCATTCGCCCAGCTGCATCCCACCGGGAGCGTGCCTAGTCCCATTCTTGTGTCTGACTACCTGTCCGAGCTTGATCTGCTCTGTGCAGACCGATGCGGCTTCTGTCAAAAATAGGCTAGGCCTGTATTTTAAGAGGAGCAGGGTGGAGAACCACTTCTGGGACGCTTCTGGTAGAATCTCAAGCATTGTCCAGAACGTCTGCGAAACCCAGCTGTGTCCTGTTTCGCTGGAATGAAGCTGTTTAGTTGGCAGTAAAAAGATGTCAACAGGGCATATTGTGACAGTCAACAGGCACGATCGTATTATCCTTGTAGTTTTAAGTGTGTGCACTTTTTAACCACCTTCCCTTCTTAAATTTGTGTGCCATGGCTTAGCAGAAACACTCTCTTTTGCATGGTGCAGTCCACACCAGCATCCCACTAGATCCGGGCCTGTCTACAACACTACACTGACAACCACAACAACAGCTTTGCTCGCCTAGCAATTGTACTGACCTTTTTCTCTCATAATAGAGGCGGTGCGTGGTCAGCAGCCCTCCATGAGAGCCTGGCTCCCACCAGCAGGTAAACCTCAGGGGACCTGCAACCAAGCAGGACTGGTTCCCCTGGTGGAGACATGCCTGCCAACACGTGACAAACAAGCATCAGCTACATTCTCAATTTAGTGCTAATACAATTATTTTTAAAAAAGGAGAACTGTGTAATTGTAAGACTTTAGTCATGTCTACAAATGAGGTGTTTGTTCCTTGTATTACATTAAAGGAGAGTCTGACAGAAATATTTGCTTCCCTAATGTGTTATGTGTCATATTGTGACCGTTCAGACTTATCTTGGAACCCTGCCTGGGTGTCCTGCCCCCCAGGTTGGGGACCACTGATTTCGTCACTTACCTGTAGTGGTATCTAACCTTGTTTTTTTTTTTATGTTCCCTGGTTTTGACATACACAGGGACTTCCTTCACCCGCGTTCAGCATTTTTGTTGGTGCTCACAGCATTAGTGTCCCTGATACGTTGCATAATCCACAGAACAAACTGTGAACAGTTTTCATAGACTATGTATTTGGTAGGAAAAAAAACAACTATTGTGAATTTTTTCAATGTCAAAGCTGTGAGCGCTGCTAACCCCTATTGCAGTAAAGGGAGAAATAGCAGAGACTAATATCTCCTGACCTTGACACATAAACCAAAACTATCTGTGTGTGTGTGTGTGTAGGTCTAGAAACTAATAGAGGGGAACTTTATCATGAGAGGGTTCATGCGGTTATTTGCCAATGATAAAGACACTCATGCATTTCAACTTACTTTTGCACTTTACAGCTGTAGCGCCAACCCAGCTCTCTTCGTCCTGGCACAAGCTGTCATGCTGTGTACCCTGAAAAAGGAAATGACATCATAAAGTCGTGATTTGGCTGCATGTCTTGTATTGACCTGACATGAAGTGAACAAGTACAAGCAATAATTGTTTGTGCATGTTGTAGCCGGCACATACAGGCCATCTGTGGTCATGATGAAATTAGAGATGAAAGAATTAAGTTTGAATTTGACTGACAGCAACAACACAGACTCATTTTCATCATTCAAGGGTCTGCAAGTTCACCCAAAAACATTGTGAGGGTTATAAGCTAACATGGCGGCTGGTTTCAAAAAGGAACTGGATTTACCAGAATTAGCCCGACACATATATTTAAACTCATCTTACTCACTAATGTTGCTCTCTGACATAAGATATGTCCTTCTGGCCCTCAGACAATGCCTACTTCCTTGTACTTCCTTAGTCCTAGGAGCTTATCCTCATTCAGATCCACTGACTCATATAAAGATCAAACACACACGAACAGTGGACCAAACTCTAAACACACACGAAATAACTAAATATGACCGCTTCTGAACACATAATGACAACAACTGTGACCCACAATTTAGGGCACAAACACAGAGGGAAAGACACCTCAGGTAGGATGTGATAAAAGAGAGGCGCCATGAAGGAGGGGAGAGGTATGATGCGTTCAGGAGTGGCCCACCTGGGAGTAGTAGTAGTAGTAGTAGTAGCGGTAGAGCCAGAGAGTGCAGGCGGTGCGAGATGACTCACTTTACCCCGCTTCCGCCTTCCTGCGCTGAGCTCGAAACCTTGGATAATAATGAATAAATAACGGTAATTGGCATCCACTTAGCTTTTAAGTAATAAAACAGCTCGCCAGCTTCTGAAAAACAAGTAAAATAGTAACTAATACAATTAGTTGGTTTAAGGTTTAATAATTCAGATAGCACACCGAGCAAGCTAATATTTTGCAACGAGCCTAGCTAGGGACACCAAAAAAAAAAAAGTACACGACAGACAGGTGCCCAGTAAAAGTAGTTACCTTCAAATAACGTTAAAGGAAAGTGAAAACTAGCACCTGTCAGTATTTCCCACGTCGCTCATAAGGTTTTAAAAAAGTAAAATTGATCTTAAACTCTTTAATTGTCAAGACAGCGGCTTGTAGGTTTTTATCCAACCGTTTCTCCTTTCTCATTACAAATAAATAAATGTTTACCTGCAGCAGCTGATCTCAACGCATACACGATCTTTGGCAAAGGCAGACCGCAGCTACGTGGGGGGAAAAACCAAGACAGTGCAGTAGGTGTGTCTGTGTCACTTTCACGGTTTCTTCCAGGAAGTGGAGTTTTTTTTTTTGTCTTGAAGCAAGTTGTTGTCAAGTGTAACAGCGAGTGTCTCCAGTCTAATAGAAACGCGTTGATGGTCAACTCGTCTTTCTGGCTGCCATGTCGGATTGTTTGGACCGGTCCACGAAGATCAACTCGTTCAAGGAGCCGGTTGTGAAGAAGCTCTGTGAGGTGTTGGACAAATCCAGCAGCAAAGGATGGCGAAAACTTGGAGAGATAGTCAGCAATGAACGACGCTTTAAAGTCAGGTAGGCTGGGATTGATCCAGACTGCAAGCTATGTAATATCACACTCATATCAATCCTAAAGTGTGTCTGAAACCCAACACTGTGGGTTATTTTATGTTATGTTGTTTCAGAGTCGTAGTGTCCAGTGAATACTATGCTATAATACAGGATTGTGAGACAGTGTAATAGATACAGAAAACATTGTGATGATAATAATGAGAATACTTTATATTAAGTACTGATATATAAGTGATACATATTCACATATACAGGGATCACGCAGTTCAGTAACACAAAATATCAGAAATTAAAGGTCCAATCTGTCACAGATTTACTATCACATATGTAATTAAGAAATGAGAGAGGGAAAATTTACAGGCAAAAACAAAATTAAAATAAAAGCAAACATTATAGTTGTAAACAAGCCTTTTTGGTTATTTCTTGTCTTTAGAAATCCCTTAAAGCACAAATATTTTATCTTATTAACAGCAAAACCATCACCATGCAACTTTGACATTACCACCTGGATACTGTATTATTGTTGTCCAACTCTTTCCTGTATATAATAACAATGTTTTTATTTGACTGTCTTTTGTGAAGTTGTATATCTAGATTCATATCTTCCTGTACATTTATTCTCTCCGCATTGTGTACATGTAGTATTGACCACTTCTGACAACCGGAGTCAATTTCCCTGTTTGTGTCAACATACTTGGCGAATAAAGTTGGTTCTGATTCTGATAATGTGAAATATAACGTGCTGTCATTCTGCAGCTCAGACGAAATGGAGATGTGCTCTCTGAAGGTGTTGGAGCTGGAGGGCAGCCCGAGCCGCATGCTGCTGAGGCTGATGGGAGAGCGAGGCTGCACCATGGGTCACCTGATGGACTACCTCCAAACTCTTGGCAACTCGGAGGCCCTGCAGTGCCTGAAACCATCAGGTACAGTAAAACCACCCCCGGGCCTGTTATTGTGTTGTCAAGAATCCAAACGAGGTTGATCTTTGTTCTCTGTGTTGTATTTTTAGCTTAAAGGGAAATTTATGACTCATTCACTGCGATACATTGCCATACAAGTTTATAGTCACTCTACAAAAGCTTGTCATTGGAGGCAGGCTTCAATGAGTTTGGGATTTTTAAAGATATGATCATGTTTTTACTATAGAATTGAGACATTGGTAGGGTGGTTAAGTACAGTGACATTACAGTACAGTAACTAAAATGCCTTTTTTAAAGATCTAGTGTGTAACATTTAGGAAGATCTATTGGCAGAAATGGAATATAATAGTCAGTTTCGTGGTCACTGTAGTTTCATGCTTAGAAGGGCAGGGTGAAGCAAGGGAGTTGCAATCTGCAACTACACCCCTAGATGCCACTAAATTCTACACACTGGACCTTTGACCAACTTGGGTGATTTATAATATATAATAAATGTCAGCTTTACACAGAAACTGTCTATCTTCGCTAAGGGTATGTAACCTATCTGAATAAAGCTGACAGTGTAACACAATGCATGCATTCAAAGTGAAAGTCTCTGAAATGTGCAGCCTTGCAGATCGTCATTCAACCCCAGTCTGTAGCTCTCATATCTGGCCACAATCTGCGCCTCAGCTGTCATGCTGTGGGAAAATCTCCAGTACAGTACCAGTGGTTCAAGACCAAGGAAGAGGTGAGTGTGTTTGTTTATTTGTTGTTTTGTTTTATGTTGATATGAGATGCTGATGTTTTGCCTTTAAGTTTTATAACTGTACATCACTATGAAATCTCAGGATTTATGAAACAATGAGCCACAGACTGCACTTTAAGTGCCAGATTAACAGGTTAGGGCTTGAAATCTTCTTCATCAGTACTTTATTTTCCCGGCTCAGATGCCCAAACACAAACACATGTCTTACAAACACATCTATCACTTTATCAATCCATAACTGGATGTTTAACTGCAGTGTGATAATATATTCTAAAACGTAGATCGTACACCTCTCACTCACTACTCACTGTTTCCCTTTTCCACTTACATCTGACACCAGTTTTCTTCAGAGCTGGCCATCCAAAAGGGAAAGTTACACGTATAGTATTTCTTAGCATCCACATACTTTTATTTGTTATTTACCTGAAACTATTTTACTTTCTGAAGGCATTGCATCCTATTTATTCAATGAGGCACTCTGAGATACACATACTTGGACAAAATTACTCTTTAAAGCTAGTAGATGGAGGACCGCTGTTTGTCTTCAGGGCTGGAGGGATGTTAGGCCTTATTACCTATATTGGTATTGCATTTTCCTCAGGTGCCAAACAGCTTCTCCCCAGACCTGGTGATAAGTCCAGTCCATCTGAAGGACGCTGGCTTTTACATCTGCAGGGTCAACTGTGGAGATACTTTTGAATTCAGCCAGTGGGCTCAGGTGGACGTCCTGAATGTCGCCATGTCTTGCGGTAAGATATTACAGGTGTTGAAGACTCACGTTTGCTCTGCCTCCTGCTCTGTGTTTATACATGTATTGTTGTTGTTTTGCTTTTTTCATTTGATGCACTTTTATGATGAAGGAGGTGTCTGCAGTAGTTGCGGGACAGGGCATGTTTACTTTTTACTCTTTTAACTGGATGTAGTAGATAATATACTAATGATGTCTCCTCTCCCCCACCCCCAGGGCAGAGTTATCATTCCTTAGAAGGTCGCCTGAGGTTGGTGATCCAGCCTCAGTCCCAGCGGATACATGTTGGGGAAAACCTGCAGCTGGAGTGTGGAGCCGTGGGACGGCCGATCCCTCGATACCAGTGGCACAGAAACGGAGTCCCTATCCCCAATGCCACAAAGAGGAAACTCATGGTGAGGAAGGCAGAGAAAATTGTTTCCAAACAACAGTAACATCATAAAACCTCTCTAACAAAGGTTTTATGATGTTACTGTTGTTTGGAAACAATTTTCTCTGTTTGTAGTTGTTTGGCTAGGTTTTTTGTTACGAGACATTAGAGTTTTCTCTTTGCAGTTCACTAGATTGTTCTCTTACATCTTGCTTTTTGTGGGGAATGAGCTTTAATAAAAAGGAGTTTGTGCTTTTCAGATTCCTCATGCGATGCAGGATCAGCACGGCAGGTATCGCTGTGAGATCAGCAGCAGCACTGAGAGAACGTGGAGCAATGAAGTTGACGTTTTGATAGGTATGTCACACATGTTTTGATACTGTAATTACAGTCCAGTTAAACCAGCTCTCTTGTCATTACGTCTGAGTCATTATTTGCTCTGTTTTGACTGAAAGCACCAAGGATATCGGTCCAGATTTCAGGGGCAATGGAGTGCTCTGAAGGTAGAGTTGAAAGGACTGGTGCATGGTGTATCATATGGTGATGGGGTAACAATTAGCGGGCATTAGCTGCATGCAAACGTTATTGGTAACTTTGTTCAAAATTCTAAATTGATCCTGTAACTGCATGATCCGGATTATTCTCACATACACTAATCAGCACAAAGGCTCACGGGGTTTGATCTCCAGGCTTCACATGCATGAATTGTTGATTTTACTAATGTCATTACTGTCAATTGTCTGTAAAGGATGGCTGTGTTCTGTATTTGTCTTATTGTCAATAAATCCCATGAAAAGACCAAAACCACAGTGAATTAATCCTGCTAACCTAATCTTGTTTAATCAAGTGTATCAAACCCAGATATATGATATTCCTCTGTATCATAGACCTCCATTGTTGTCTGAAAACCAATATTAACTATAAAAAACACTTTATTGAGCCAATGAAGGTGACATGCTCTTTTGTTTTTTCCAAATAGTCCTCAACAAAAGTTTTTATCAAATGTAAATCAAACAGGAGTAATTATGCACTAATTTGATTTACATTTGATAAAAACTACAGTGACTGTTTTGGGAAATTAGTTATCCTCTTTAAAAAATGAAACCATATATTAGTGACTTTGAAAATAGTGCTTCCAGTAGGAACCAGTTGACTTCAGGCAGCCACAGATAGGGAAGTTGGAAAGTATTGAGAGACGGACTAACACATTGTTGGTTTTGGTCATAGAATAACACCAATCTTAATCTCCAAGTTAAATTATGATTAGTTGATTTGAATGCATGGATATTAGACATCTCTTCTACTGTCTAATGACTAACTTTCTAACACCAATGTAAAAATGCTCATATATGATGGTAAAGTATGTGTATTTTTTATTCCTAGATGATGTTTACGCCATTGGAGGAGGTAAGTGTAATCGTACTAAATCAAGTATCTGTACATACCTATTCAGACACCTACTTTCCTTTTACATCACTTGTTATATAATCCTTTATTGTGTTTACTGTGACATTGCTATTTCAGGTTCCAGTGAATTTTTCCTAAATAGTATTCCAGAACAACTTTATGGTAAGTTTTTATTTTTTATTAATTATTGTATGTATTCTATTTATTCCTAAAATGGCCGGTGCATAGGTCCTCTATATGTTCACTGTGTTGCTGTTAGGTGGGAAGTTTGTTCTGATGTACCGTCTGTTCCCCTCTCAACATGAATAAGAAAATAAAGATGTGAAAGCTTTTTGGTAGCTTATGATTCGAGCAGCTACACCTGTGTAGCTGCTCGAATCATAAGCTACCAAAAAGCCACCTGTGGACAAAATAACACTTTACAGCATAACAAAGTCCAACAACTCCAGAGAGTTATAAGTCAAAAAATACCACAAACGACGTGTCTGACATTGTCACCAGAAAAAAAATAATTACAAGCTTGGGTTGATGTATTGCAGTGACTGTTACTGATATTCAATGTATTTTGACCCACTTCCTTCCTGTCCCATTTCTTTGTAATCGTAACTTATAGAACCACTTTCCAAAAAAAATCCACGACGTCACAAACAAATTTTTATAGGTCTTAATTCTTCCTAAAGGGGATTTTTTTTGTTGACATATAAAGTATAACATGTTTGTCATAATCAGTAGGATATAGAGCTAAAGCAAATCAATAAGAAACTCAACAAAGGATGAAAAAACTAATTGAATTGATTGGCTGGGAGAAAAATCAAAATAAACTATTTTCACGTTGCGATAAGGATTGTGCTTAAAAATGAGCATAGAGTTCATTCAATACTTCTGACAGCTGCAAGAAAAACAAACTGAAAATGAACCTCAACAGATGTTCTGCAAGTGTCTCGTACTGTACTGCATTTCTGTTGATGTTAATGTATCGCATGGCATATTTATCAGCCAATAAGCAATAAGAAGAAAAAACCATTACACCTTTTCCTTTAGAGTGCAAGTTTATTTTCTAGATATGAAGCATCTTGATCACAGTCCTTTAAAGCAGTGCTTATCAACCTTTTTCCTGGTGTACTTTCCTTCCGAAGCCAAAAAAAGTTCATCCCCACACAGGACAATTTTTAGCAATCATTAACATAGGGGAACCAAAACTAATTTAAAAAAAGGATTGAAGTTGAATTAATAGAAATAAAGGTCAGCACAATAGCAAGTTTATTTTCCTACCTAAACCCCATCAGTAGCCCCCCCCCCCAACACAATTTGAGAACCACTGCTTTAAAGGTCCAGTATAGCGGTGTAGTTGTAAATTACAACCCCCTCGCCTCACTCTCCCGTTGCAAGCATGAAGGAGAAACTACGGGGGCTGCGAAACTTGTGAACAATGTGACAGGCACCATCTAATGCCAGTGTTTAGTTCTGTCTGTTCTGGGCTACTGTAGAAACATGGTGGTTCAACATAGTGGACTCTGTAGATAAAAACAGCTCATTCTAAGGTAACAAACACACAGTCACTACATTCAAGTGATTATACACTAATTATTATTCCATTTCTATTATCCAATTCTGGATGTAATAAGATTATCTAAAAATATTTGCTAATGTTCTGTTGATAGAAACAAAAATTATATTTGTTTACCAATATTTTTAAACTCTCAAATATTGTATGTAAGAGAAAACTTCAAAACACACAGTACAATCATTAGAGATCATTGTATTAAAGCAAGAATATTATCAATTTACATTTTGCTTGTCAGAGGTTTCTTTGCTGCATAATACTGCGTATGACTTATTTTTAGTTCAACAGTATGTTTTTCTCCCTCTTCCGTCCCAGCAACTGACAAAGTGGCCCTGCTGATCGGCAATCTGTCTTACCAGAACCACCCGCAGCTCAAAGCTCCCATGGTGGACGTGTACGACCTCACCAACCTCCTGCGGCAGCTAAACTTCCAGGTGGTTTCACTGCTGGACCTCACAGAGTCAGAGATGAGAAACGCTGTTGATGAGTTCCTGTTGCTTCTTCACAAGGGTGTCTATGGTATGTTTGGATTGCACAAGCCTCTGGATGGTTAGAAATCCAGAAACACTCTTAACCTGAAACGTGAATTGTATGAATTATGTTCTAGATGAAACTTGGACTGCAGGTTAGGCGAAGGAAGGACTGATATACACCCTTCCCTCTTTAGGTCTGCTGTACTACGCTGGTCATGGATATGAGAACTATGGCAACAGTTTCATGGTGCCGGTAGACGCACCAAACCCATACCGGTCAGCCAACTGTTTATGTGTGCAGAGCATCCTTAAACTGATGCAGGAGAAGGAGACAGGCCTCAATGTGTTCCTGCTGGACATGTGCAGGAAGAGGTCAGTGGTTGGTTCCTTTATTTTATTTAATTTTACTTTATTTACTTAAATTGAACTGATACTCTTGTATAGAGCAGTTTAATCTGCATATAATATATATATAAAAGCAATGATAAGTAGGAAGGATACGGTTCAGATCCACACTTCCCCCAAAATATTATTAAAGGTTAATGTTATAAGGGTAATATGCAGTCCTACATAAAATAATATAAATAATTGGTCTACCTAAACTACCTTTTTTTATATTAAAGCAAGAGTAATATTATAGTATAACAGTCACAAGGGACATTTTTCTGCATTTGAGTACTTTTACTTTTAATATTTAAAGTACATTTTTTACTTGTAATAGAGTATTTTTACAGTGTGGTATTTTTAGTAGTATTTTTTGTACTTACCTAAGTAAAGGATCTGAATGCTTCCTCACTTAGAAGTTTTATAGATGTATTCATTTTCCAGGAATATTCATGATGACAGCACTCCAAATATTGTCCTGAGGGTTACGGCCAACATTGTGTTTGGATACGCTACGTAAGTTGGCAATATCAATACTAGTTTATACACTTCTTTGTTTTCAAGAATATAAAACATATTATTCGTATGGCTGTTCAGGTGCCAAGATGCCGAGGCCTTCGAGCTGAGCTCCACTGGCTTCGCCAACGGTGTGTTTGTCAAGTTTTTGAAAAAGCGGCTGCTAGACGATGAGAAGATCACCGTGGTGCTGGACAGAGTCGCTGAGGGTGAGAGAGGAACAGAAACACAATATATAATAACATCATATGTTGCCCTGCAAGAGGTACAGGGATAAATAATACAAATTATACTTAGCATATCATATATGACATTATAATATGGTATGTGAAGGTAAGATTATTTACTGTAGTCTTGATTTTTTTTCAGTCTGAGCTATTAAAATGAAGCCTAGGCAGCTGCACTTACATCTTTAATAAAGTTGTTATTAATTATTAGGTTACCATCAAGAATTATGATAAAATAATTAAAAAAGCAGTTTGCAGTGTTTGATTATGAAATGTGATTGTTTTACAGTTGCTGTGTTTCCCATGGGATGCATTTATTTTTAAATAGAAGAATTAAGTTAATTAAATGTAGCTTCCTTTGCATTATTAATGTAAAAATTTTACCGGCTTTCATGTGGGCTAATGGAGTTCCCTTTTAAATGCATTGTTAATGACTTGAGGTTGCTGTAAGATGCACTTAAGTATAGGATATGGGCAGGATATGTCTCTAATATTAGCTCAGGGCAGATAAATTAATTAGATTTTAAATAAAATGCTCCCCACAGTGTTGCATAGGCTTTTGGTTTGATCCAGTTTCAGCTCATGTTGTGGAGTTTGGGATAATGTGCGAGGTGTTACAGTTAAGACAAGCTGTTGTTGAAGTGCCGACATGTGATTTGTCATTTCTTGTGTCCAGACATGGGTCAGTTTGATGCTACGAAAGGGAAGCAGGCTCTGGAGATCCGCAGCAGTTTGTCAGAGAGGAGAGCTCTGACTGATCCCATTCTGCCCGGTGACAGCGCTGATCTCACTCATGCTCACAGCCGCCAGTGGGCAAAGGCTCACGGTGAGTTTAAAATATTTACAAAAATGTTTGCTTATCACTTGTTATCGCTGCACTGGAAAAATCCCCTTTCTTACTGCGGCTCATTACTGTACACTCCAATGTTGACTTAGTCACGTTATACACACTTGCACACATGGTAGCTTCCTGTGACAAACAGACTGTTGTTGGAAACTCCGTCGCTGCTGGTGACTTGGCAGCCGGTTTGAAGCATGAGAAACGCCAAATTATCACCTCTTCCTCTTTTGTCAGCTAATGTATATTTTCTTATGGAAAACAGAAACCACTGGGCAAGGAACATAACATTTCTTTTGTTTTAGTTTTGATGTAACCTAGTAGACTACCACATCCGACCAGTGGGCTGTTCCCTATAGCAGTGATTCCCAATCTTTTCTGGCTTGTGAAAATCTACTTGTACTCTACTCTTATCTCAGGTTATTGCCTCAGCGTTGACATAATTAACTTGGCAGAGTTTAAGCACTATGTGACCTTACGTGAGAACTTGCGTTAATTGATGTCGAAATGATTAATTTGAAAACAATCCGATGTTTTGTACTTGAATTGTTTATGTTTTTGTGTATGTTATTCCAGAGCTTCCAGAGAGCATGTGTCTCAACTTTGACTGCGGGGCTCAGATCAAGTTGGGATTCGCTGCAGAGTTCTCCAACGTGCTCGTAATTTACACTCACATCATTAAGAAGCCCGAAGACATGTCCTTCTGCCAGGCTCACGTCACTGACTTCTCACAGGTCCGTAACCCTTGTTTATTATCTTTCTCACCAATCTAACAAGAACCCTGTAGGGAAATTGGATAATTAAATGAGAACAGCACCGACAACTATATTAGAAATAAAGCAAAGCCATAAAATGCATGTACTGTACCTAAAATTATTTGTGTGGGTGTGTGTTTGTGTGTACTGTACACTGCCATCTGACTCTTTTCCTTACTGCAGGACCTTGATGTGGATCCTAAAGAGATGAACAGAGAGACTCCAGAAGAAACAGGCATCTATTTTCTGTCCAGCAGCCTGCCGCAGCACTGTCTTTACACCAGAGTCAGCTCACTGCAGAAGCTCAGGGTAAAAAACTCAACATGACTCTCTCATAATTTGGCATATAATACTGATTGAAAGCTGTTGTTCAAAACAGAACAATCTATGTGACGAGGTATTTTTCAATTTCTAAACAAAGTTCTTTCTATAATCCGAAGGAAAAGGATTATAGAAATGTTTCATCCTATTAAGAAAGCATGTCATCCTATGATTAAATAGGGGTCTAGAGATGAATGTTGATGTCAGCAGGGTAACATCCTCACAATAGCAATGTTAAGATGTTGAAGTCTAGTAGGTATGATGTTTATCATATTCATCACCTTAATTTAGCGTGTTAGCATCACATCATTAGTGTTGCAGATGTTTGTTAATGATGCTAATCCATGCAGTAGATGTAGAGATGTTGCAATGTATAAAGGACAACAATGATCCACTGGTGGCAGGAAAAATCAGCAGATCACCAAAGTCACAAGGATTCCTCCTCTGGGCACCATGAATGTCTGTTGTTTTCACTTAACACAGTGATTCTGGGTCATAACACGTTTGTGACGTGTTAATTTCCGAGCACACACACAACCAAAGGTCCAAATGTACACAGGATATGCGATGCAGCCCTGGTGCACATGCAAACACATAGTTAAAAGCAAGTATCCGGCCTTAATAGTACTGTTCTCCTCTAACCCCACATGCAACAGGAGGAGCTGGTCTTCACCGTGTGCCTTCAGGGCACCTTCACCGCCATGGATGACGGTCCCGTCCACTGGACCAAAAGCATCAACATTGGCAAGCCGCTGATCGCCCGACTGGACCTGCACCGGGCCATGCGGCGGAATAGCTGCCTGCAGACCTGCATGATGCCCCACAGCCCGTCCCACAGCCCCTGTCACAGCCCTGGGCCTGAACACCGCCTCCACCTCCATCACGGGCTGCACCAAGCCCAGGATCACAGCCGTCTGTCGCCGCAACACCACTACCTGGACGTCTATGAGCGTCTACAGGGTGCAGTGGGTAGCTGTGGGGATTCCTGCTATGACAACCTCAGCCAGTCTCGTTATGAACCTGTGTGCGACCCAGCTGGTGGGCTTTCAAGCTCACCAGGCAGGCTCAGCATCCCTATAGAGGCCACTGACGACATCACTGAGCTGCAGACCGTGTTCATCAACAGTCTGCAGCTTCAGCAGCAGTAAAACGGCTGCTGGATGTCTCTGATATTTCTCAGAAGAGAAGCTTTAAATGTATCTGTAATACTGCTGCTCCTTTCTGTTACATGTTATTATACTTAATAAAACATTTTTAGACTATTATATTCTTAAATTTATAAGCATTATTAGACTCAACAAGATGTACACTGACTTTTGTACTAGATTTTTATGTACTTGAGTTTTATAAATAAATTTATAGAAAAAAATTTTTTTCAGTAAACACCATATTTATTCAACAAGGACTATCTGCTGCAGTTGTGTTTTTACCAACAATTCTCTGACTTTTGCCCAACAGAAAAGCACATAGCTGTCAAGATCAGACACAGTCCTTGTGTATTATTACAGAAACTTTTTTTTAGAGTTGGAATTGTACCTCTTACAAAGGTTTGTTTAAAATTATGAGTCAAATGTGCATAATATTAAAGGGGCATTCAGATTAAGAAGATAAGGTGTGAAGCAATCTGCACACAAGGCCTGGCTTGCCTTCACTGCTGGAACAACTTTGTAAACATTTGCTCATGTAACTAGTAAAAATTTATTGCAGAGGAAAGTGAGGCTGGAGGAGCTCCCTCTGCTGTACAGTTTACATAAATATCTAAGGCTGTCAGCAGATGAATTAACTAGAGGAGAGAACATGATGGTTAAAAACATTGAACATGGACAACACCTCAACCCATATTTCCACAAAGCTATTATTATTCTGTTTTTCTATCTAGAAATCATAGACTGATGTTGTCCACTGCACACTAAATTGACATTATTCCTGTAGATTGAGGTCCATATCTGACTGTAAAATAAAACAAAGCAGACTTTCCTTCACTGCAGTTTGTGTAATGGGAGGTCACTATAAGAATTTTATGGGTCACTAAGTTTGGACGTAATGTGCTGCTCCACAGACCTCCTGTATATTCATATCTCCATGTGACAGTGTGGCACATGAAGAATTAATCCCCTTACATAAGAAACCATGAGTCCCGTCCCACGATGTCCCACACAGTGGCAGAAACTACCAGAAATCTAGTGCAACAGTTTCACTCTTTTTTTCTTGCTTTTTACGCAGTATAACACAATTATTTGTTAGAGGAACAACTTATTAAGAAACTAGAGGAAACAGATTATGAGGAAGACATTTGGCAACGAAATGCGCTAATGTGGAAAGAATGGAGAGCGAATGAGGTTCAAAAACAACATGAGCACAGCTAGTCTTTTGAAGGAATTGATTACAAACAAGTTTAATCAAAGGAGTGTGTATGCGGTGAGCGCTTTGTGTGTTTATGTGCATATCAATGGTGGAATTTACATATTTTAGCCTATACATCCATGATGCAAAACATGAGGGTTTTTAACTCTAAATATTGTTCATGGGGGTTGTTTCTGGGTGTGGAAAGAGCGGGCAGAAATACTCTTAACTGAGTCAGTCAAGTAGATATGAGATTACTTTTGTTAAAAAATCTGCTCAAGTGACAGTTGGAAAGGTGATCTTTTGAAATGTTCTGTGTAATTTTTGCATTACATTATCTAAACTCTATACTACAAAATTTCTGTCTTTAGAATCTGCTTTCATCTGCTTTAATCTGAAAAAATGAATCACTTACAGTAATGGTAGTAGTAGTTGGTTTCTACTGTTTTCATGAGGGCAGGCAGCTCATGTGACCTTCAGCTGCCAGGTCCTCTCACGTAACAGGATAGGACACCTTGCAGAGAGCGCCACAGTAGAAACATAATAGCACTCAGGTCAGGATGGATGCAACATTGTTTTTTATTAAAGTACAAAAACATTTTGTATGTGTTCTGTCCATGCACAACCCCACAGGACCTGACACTGCAGCACAACATTGGGATGTGAATCCTGTCTGGTTGAATAATGGATGGAGTCAGCCACCCACAGGCTGCAGGGTGATATCATGGCTGCGTCACTTGTGCAGCTATGGGAGGAGGGGAGGGCTGGTTAGACGATGCAGCAGGCAGCGAGAGGAGAGAGAACGAGTTAGAAACCTGCCTACAGAGAGGACAGAGGGATAAGAATCATGTCAGCCTCCTGGAAGCAGCTCTTTTTTCAGATCCTCCTGCTTCTCATCTCCTGCAGACACATCAATACAAGTAAATGGCTATTTGGGTTTAATTTTGACTGTGTGGTTGTGTTAAAACATTGCTCTGTCTTCTCTTTTCTCCACTAATCTGCAACCTTGTAAGGAGTAGAAGAATATCTGATATAATTTCCACACCGTCATGCACTACTGTATCATATAATGCTTATCAAGTTGCAGATAGTCCATGTTTATTGCCTTTTTTTCTCCTTTTCAATGTCCCCCAAAAGTATTCTTCTCAGGGCGGAAAATCATCATGGGACACTGAAACGCTACATTAAAACCAAGAGCAATTACTTATTTAAGGATGGAAAAATAAATACCAGTATAAAGAAGAAAAAAGAGAGAGAAAGAAAGAGAAAGACAAAAAATGATGGGATTATCATTTAAACTGATTATTCAGTTTAATTATTTATACTAGCCACACATATACTTCTGTCTCTGTAATCTCGCAAGAATAGTTTTTGTCTTTTTATGGAGTATTAAAAAAGGATAGGTTCATGGTTAATTTCCTCATTTATCAATGGGACTTCCTGGTAAAAACAAAAGTGTGAAGAAAAGCTTCAGGCAATGACTGTACTTTCTACCACTGAACACAAGAGGAGGACATTTTGAGATCTCATTGAATTGTTTCTTTACATTTGGTCCTTTCCTTGAACTATTTATATATTTTTTGGTTTGTTTTAGCTTTTGTATATTTTATCTTCATCATTATGACTTCGAGTTGATTTTCCTTCTATGAAAAATTATATATGAATATTATCAATACATATCAAGTTCACAGAATAACCATAGAAACCATTTGGTACAACCTAGCAGTTATTTAGCAACATCCAAGGTCACCCTGGTAACCACCTTGAACAACCACCTAAGAACCCTGAAGTGAGGGTGAGACCTCTTCGAGATGTCCAGCTGTCTTAGCACGTAGCACAATATAGCCACCCTAGTTACACCTTTAAAACCCCTAGCAAATCCTTAGTAACCATCATAAACACAGTAGCAACCACCTGCTAAAACCCTGACAACTTCTCTAGCCCTAGCCCTAGCACCCTAGCAACCACATAGCAATGTCTTAGCGAAGACGAATAATGTCCTAGCAACTACCTACCCCTACAAACAACGTATCAATATGACTTTTACCATAAATACTGTCACCTAGTGTTATAATAATGCAAACATACAGGTTTGTGTGTGTTTTTATTTAATTATTTGTTTTCCTGTCAGAGACACCTGGCCCAACGCCCCCGCCACTGGTTCCCAACAGTCCCCTGCCAACAGATGTGAAGAGTGTTGTTCTGAAAGGTAACTTTTCAAATATCTGTCCCTCATATATATGTATATGTAGATCTTTGTACAACATATATCACCATAATGTGTCATCTGAGTCCAGCTTGGTCTGTAGTTAACATTTTGACAAGGTGATTAGGTTAGGATAGGATAATGTGTCCTTATCTGTGAAAATCTCTCCACACAGGTGAAAGTCACACTGAGGAAGTTGAACTGTTGAGCCCCGTTGAACTGGCACTGGAGTGTACGTGGACTGGTAGTCAGACAAAACTACCAAACATAACCGGGTTCTGGAGAAAAGATGGGGAAGAAATTGAGAGCAGTCGCCGCACAGTGCAGTTGGAGAATGAGCAGTATAATCTCAGACAAGTGTAAGCACTGAATTAAAATTCATGCATGTGTGCATCATGCATATTTAAGAAATATACCTAAATTTTATACAACTGATTATATTTCTATATATAGCAGCTTGAGGACTTGAGTTATTTATCTCGAAACTGGCATAAATTTCTCTGCACTTTCATCTTAGATTACATCTGGCGCCCCCTGTGAACAAAAGCAGTAGTGTTTCCACCACCTGGTTTGATTGATTTCAAGGGGAATCTGACCAGTGGCAGGCATTAAGAAGAACTATACAGAATTTTTTCTCGCTGATGGTCTTGTTTAATTATGTAGCCTAGGTCATATAGAGGCTTCTGTATTAAACTTTCTTAACCAGTTAAAAACGCCTTGCAGTACATTTAAATACAAATAAAGACTTTATTTAACCTAAATGATATACAAGTAAAGAGTTGATATCACTACTATTTAAATTATTAATAATATTAACGCATTTTATTGCAGAAGAAGTATTGTTTTTATGAAAAAATCACATTTAATACAGACTTTTTTTAACATAAACATTCATCCTAAATTTAACATAATCCGTTTTTGTGTAAAATCTCTATTATATTTTTGCTTTACAGATTCAACATCGTCAGTGAAGAAGACCTTGGAACCTACTCATGCGTGTTTGGAGGTGAAGCAACAATAGACTTTGTTTTGGCAGGTACAGATCAAATCCTTTCATGAGTTATACATATATTTATATATATATATATATATCACAGTTTACATTTCCCAGCCAACATTTGTGTTGTTATCCAAGTTCTTGCTGCTTATCCATTCTGAATGTCAACTAACAATGTTTGATCGGTACACAATTCAGCCTTTAGAGTGCCTCATTATTAGGCTCCTCGCCTTGTTGTCCACCAGGTCCACAGATTAGTGAGGTGCGAGATAAGCCGATAGTCAGCTACGTGGGGGACTATGTGGTGATGACATGCAAAATGGAAGAAGCCAATCCAATGCCCAGCACCTGGAACTGGTATAGAGCAAATGGTACAGACAAGGTGAGTGAGCTGGTCACAGTCTTCTCTTGTGTGGCTTTCAGTGAGATTTGTGTCACTGGTGACGTTTGAATTGACACCTTTTCAACATGTTTTATACCAACAAGTTTTGTTGTGTGTTCAAGGAAATGTAATAAACAGGTCTGTGTGTTGAATCCTTCAAACAGGTGTAAACACCTCACTTGATTAGACAATGAATTGTTGACACTTTTGACTTAAAGGTCAAAGGTCATCGTGACCTCAAAATGACTTTGACAAACACATTTTTAGTTCATAACTGAAGAATTGATAGAATAATTCTGAAAACAATTCACACAAAAATGTGGTTTTAGGCCATTATTCAACACCATAATAACTCAGACAGAGAGAGGGAGATTGTGATGGTGATGAACAGTTGAACAGTTGTGATTTCACAGTTGGTCTGACACTGAATTGGAGACATTTTTGAAATTTTAAAAATGAATTGGCCGACTGCAGATTTCACACACACTGACTGGGGTAACACAAGTAAACAGTAACTAGCACAGTACGGGCTTTCATATTTCCATCTCATGTATTCTGCCTTTCACTTACTGCCTCATTGTGAATTTGGAGCGCCATCGAAATCGAATGATTCCAAACAACGTACTAGCTAATGCTCAATTCTAGTATATGTTTAAACCCTTTATTGCCTCACTTCCTGTGGAACAACTGAAAGCACACAGTTACTTTCGCACACTACTACGCTTTTGTCACCTGTCAAAAAGGAAGTTTTTTTTTTTCTTGTTGGTAAAAAGTTAAACCTCAACATCCTTTTACTTCTGTTATTTATGCATGTAAGCAGTCTCAGAAAGCACGCAACTTACCATTCACATCGGCTTGCAACAACTTTTTAATGTTGTACTATGCTGTCTACAAGTATTTTAAATTTATTTTCAAAAACACCAACCACCATGAGCCACCTTCTGATGAAAAATACAAAAACATTTAAACATGTTTATGGCCTCTGACCCATTGAACTGATATTTGTCCTAGGAGCAAATCTTTGCAGAGCCTCAACGGTATGAAATCAAGAATGAAGAGAGAAAGACCAAACTGCTAGTGCACAACCTGACAGAGGCCGACTCTGGCTTGTATTACTGCGGTGCCGTGTACGCCATCAGCACCGCGATGGGCCATGTGGAACTCAAGGTCAGTTCTGTAAAAGTGACTAAGCTAAAGTAAATTAATTCAAATACTGTTGTACTAATAAAAACAATTCTAGTATAATTAGAGTATTTCTGGTTTATGTTCATTTATACTTCCAGGCAGCGGCGGATCCCCAGTTTGGGGTAGTTTGACAGTCTTATTATTTTTTTTTTCTTGATTTCTAATGCCACTTTGAGATATTTCTATTCAACACTTTACTAATTCACCGCAATAATATCTTAATTTGGGGGCTTTTCCAAGCAAATATTTATATATGTGATTTGTTTGTTATTCAATCAGCATATATTTCTGCCACCATCTGGGAAATATCAAACTTTTTACTCCACTACATTAATCTAACCGCTGTATTTTCTTGTTACTTTTTAGTATTTTACATAAATCACACAATAGGTTTATTAAATACAATACATTGTCAAAGCTTAAACCAGGGAATCCCAACCTTTTGGCTCGTGGCCTGTAAGAAAAATGCAGTGTCTGTTTGGTGCCACTATTCATGTTTCAGTTGTCTATGAGTTGTTACCTGTTCAACCAAAAACATTTCCCCTCTAAACTTCTCAGATTGTTTCACTTTTTTTAGAGCCAAAGACAGAAAACTCAACATTTCACAAAAAAACAGCAAATTTGTCTTCTTTTCTACCCGATTAATCATCTCACGACCCCTCAGATTTATCTTGTGACGCTATGGAGGGGCCTGAAATCTTTGGACTAAATCAACAAACAGTTTTTTAAAGCAGTTAAAATGAGCTCTACCTCGACCAAATACAACAGTAAAATGCTGTTTAAACATTCATGCATCAGCATATGTCATATAAAATAATACATCATTTACAGGCGCCAATTTAATTTACTTTATTTGTTTTACTGTTACTGTCACAAAAACTCTAAATACTTCTTCCACCACTGCTGAAGGTCATCACCTTCTACGAGCCTCTCAAGCCATTCATAGCCATCATGGTCGAAGTGATCGTCCTGGTCGCCGCCATTCTGCTCTACGAGAGGAGTCAGTCCAAGAAAAACCCCACAGCAGGTAGTCAGTCTTCTTGTTTGTGTGTAATTGTGTTGTGCAGTATGTTGTATTTTAACTTCAAACGATCTGCCTTATTCTCAGGAAACCAGACGAATGACCAAAATAACACACTGTGAGTATTATCAGAGTGGTGCTTATTGTTTTAAGTTTGATTTGCAGGATGTAAATGTGCATTTTTTTCATGATGTACATGTTTATGCTCTCATCAGGACACAGGGAGAAAGTAATGGATCAGAGGGAAGTTCTTCAACAAGACAGCGGAAAGTATAAGACTGAAATACTTACCCAAAACCCAACAGATCCAAGCTTCTCTAAAACTGTTGACAAATTTTTATTTGTTTTCAAATGTGAATGATGCTTTAAAGCAATATCTCATCAACTATTTCAAGAATATTTTCACAAAACAAATTGCCACCACTTTGATACATCGTACACAATCGGTTCACTGGGAGATATGTTTTCTATTTTAAGGGACAGTGTTGTTATGATGGCTGAAAGAGCAAAGCATTTATGTGTTTTTCAGTTTTCACTTCCTGTGGAAAAACTGCCTCACATCACTTTGACTTTCTGTCAAAAAGAAAGTGCATTTTCCTTTTTTTGGCAACCTCAACTCCTCTTTACTTATCTTTTTTATGCATTATGGTTTGTGAGCAGTGCCTTACACTCTTTAAAAATAAGCACTTAACTAACCGCTCATACTGTGCTGTGCTTTTGTCACTTTTTACAGGTTTTTCCTGCAATAATGTGTGCCTGAAATGCTTCAAATTACCTTAGTAACGTGTATATCAAGATAAATCATCATATATATGCAGATACTTATGTCGTTTTCATGTTAATCTATCATCAGATGGTTACAAAAGTCCTATTGTCCTCTAATCATGACTTCAACTGTATCAACCTGCACTTTACCTATGAGGTGTACCACTGTATATGTAAACAAACAAATTAAACTACACAAAATCTCACTGTCTTTGTTTCATTTGACACTGCTGACGCTTACTTAAATGAGTCGTTTTTTACAGAAGCAGGTACTGATCACCACTTGCAGTTGTAATCTGCAACTTCACCACTAGATGTCACTAAATCCTAAAAACTGGTCCTAGAAAGGAGAACTCATTTCATTCATTTCAGTTTACAGATCAAGCTTTATAAAGCCTTTTGTGGCTGCAGAGGGAGCTGCGTGTAATCCGATAAACTGCCTCAAGTGATGTCACTGGAGTCACAGTTGAAATTGAAGACTACGACGGTAGAAATGAAAAGAAACCTGTGGGTTTGGAGTGAAAAAGAAGTGAGCTTATCAGAGCTCTGTAGCACACTCATCTCTCTTCCAGAGGCTAACGTCTCAAGGCTTCGTTAACTGCTACTAGCCTAAGACACCTGAATCTAAGACTGACATGGCACTGGTTGAGTTGCACTATGGGTAACATAGGCAGCAAGTTTTGACAAGGAAGAATTTAAATTGTTTATCATGAGTCTGACAATGTTACAGGAGTGAAAAGGTTATCTGTGCAGTGCTCCTTTAAAGGAATGTGGTTGTATGAGTAAATATTTTCTAAGATTTCAGGAGTAAGCACTGACCAACACAAAGGAGCGTCAATCTGAAAAGCATGGTTTTATTTTTGCATACCTCTGCACAATAATAATAATTAGGGATTTTTTATGTTTTTATTCTTGAATATTACATTTTATACAATCTACCACAGCTTCCTCATGTCTGTCATGTTGGGCTCTTTAAAACCTATTTTTCTTGATTTCTTGCTTCTTTCAATGCCTTGGAGAAGATAGACTCAAGGGGAAAGACATTTTTCAAAAGGCAGACAGACACAAAGACAGAAACCTGGAGAACTCTATGGCTGGTTCATGAGGAACTGAACCAAAAGCTTGATGACACCGTCGTTCAGACCCACCACCTCTCCATCCTTCACACCCTCGTACAGGCGCAGGCTCTCTGTGCCCCACAGAAGGTTTTTCCTGGGGTTGTTGGCGTCCGTCTCCACAGAGAGGGCCACTGTGTTGAGCTGGTAGCAGAAGAAGGAGAAGAACTGGCCATCTGTGATCACAGCCTGGGACACGAAAGGCCTGGTGACGTCCTCGTGGTTCCAGAAACCTACAAGATGAGAGGTGAAAAAAAAGGGGGAAAAAAATAAATGTAGAATCACCCACCACAAAAATAATGTACTGTATCATAAGCTCTGCCACAGTAAGAGATGCATCTGATGTCTCTTTCCTGTGTCGATAACTCACCCTGGTACATGGCCTGAGCTCCTGTCCAGGCAAAGAGGCTGGCGAGTCCGTTGGCTCTGAGAAAGACCTCCACCTGATCAGACTCCTGCCGCCGAGCCATCCGGTCTCTGTGGTATCGATCAGGCACCAGGTGGAACTGAGTGTGACCGTAGCATGCCGGGTCTGGTAACTTGGCCCCTGTTAATGAGAGCAAGAGGACGGGCTTAATGTGAACTCAGCACAGCTGAAAGAAGGATTCCTGAATGACGACTCCAATTTCTTTTCCAGGATGAAAACATAACTTTTCCATATAATTGATATCTTTGTCAATAATTTCCAATTGATACTCAATCATGAAAAATGTTCCATCCAACTAGGACGGACTGACTTTGCAAAAGAAGGTCAGAGCTGTTAGTCGATCAAAAGGAAATTAATCAGCGACAATTTCAAGCAAAAATGGCAAATTTTTGATGGTCTTCATGTTGCTTTTTTTTTGTCTTACATTACAGCAATTTTAATTTCTTTGGACTGTTGCTCGAACCAAACAAAAATCAGCATATCCACTTGTTTCCTTTTTTGTTGACCAAACAATGAACTGAATAGGTTTCCAAAAACAGGGAAAACAACCATCTCAGACTTGGAGAAAATGTTAGTCTTTTTGCATTTGACTGACTGAAAAAGTGCATATTGGCGCCCCCTACTGACAGCTAGAGGTAACTGAATAATAAACTCATATCCCAACATGTAACCAGCATTCAACATGCTAAATGTACATTCTTTTGGCTCCTTACATACACAGGATGAAGTACAACACGTGACTGGTGTCTTGTAGATTATATTACCTGTAAATATATTGTTGTCATACTGTCTTCTGAACAGAGGCATCATGTTTGGAGCTGTTGTGATCTCTGGAACTTCAGCTGCATAGGATGCCTCCAGTGGGGTAAACTAAGAGAAATGGAAATGACAGAAAGTGATTAGAACAAAAACAAACAACCACATGTATGCTTTACATTAAACAGACACTATTGTTGATAATACGTGTCCCATTTGCTTTAAGATACTTTTGCTCCAGGTTAGTAGGTGTGTCCTGTATGATTTCTACCTGTGGCAGTTGTTGGGTTATCCTAATCTGACTGTGCGGGTGGTCGTCAATCTGGAACCTGGTTGGCTCTAGCCGGCCTCTCCGGTGCCCCCTTGGGATGATTCTCTCTCCTCTCCTCCAATAAAAGTTTACCTGGGGATTAACATCTGACGGAGAAACACAAACAATATAACTTGCAGAGGTCAAACAGTCACGTCTGTGGAATACTAATAATCTGGTCATAGAGATGATTTGTATTGTTATTGTTGTTATAACTTATTCTTTATTCAGATAGTGATTTATTTGAATCATAAATGTTTCACTTTTAGACTGTACTTTATCTGTGCAAAGTTCTCAGTTGCTTGGATTTGGAACAATTTTTAAAATGTGACAAGTTTGACTTGACAGGGAGATATTGTAACATAAATATTAAACAATACTCTGCTCTTAATATACTTAAAATGTAGTCTTTTTTTTTACTTCAAAAAACGGTTTGCGTTGAATAAAATAGAGCTGCTACTAATGATTCGTTTTTAATAGTTTCTTGATTATTTATTCTTTGAGAAAAATGTGAAAAAACTGAACAAATTCTGAGTGTCAAAGAAAAACAGCTTCTTTTGTCCGACCACCAGTCGAAAACCCAAAGGACATTGAATTTACAATACTATGACACACCAAATCCTCACATTTCAGAAGCTTGCACCAGCAAATGTTTGGCATTTTTGCATTTTAAATTACTTTACCAACAGAGATTATATGTTACATTATTGGTGCAGAGGAACCAGGAATCTGCTCTACTTTTATATGAGACTAATAAGTAAAACTAAGGACATTGTTTACTGCCCCATATAGCTAACCAGCCACATGCTTAATATGACTTAAAATGTAGTTTTGAAAAGGCACAATGCGTGGAAAGTATGGTTTCAAAGTGCCAAAGTGGATGTCTTAGCAGGATCAATCATTCATACCCAGACTGGAGAGGAGGAACAGTGGGTTGTGTTTGGCCAGACTGTAGGTGAGTCCAGTCACCAGGTTTCTCAGCATAGGTCCAACGACCTGCTCCTGCTCTCTGTACATAAAAGGTTTACGTTTCTTTATGTGCCAGTGCTCCTGTAAAATCACACGAGTCACCATGGAGCGGAGGTCCGCAAACGCATCATCTTCAATCCCGGGCACCGCGGCCGGCGGAGAGCTCTCATCCCCGGCGGGCAGGGTGAATTTCTCGGGCAGACCCGGGATATATGCGGTCTTGGTAAAGTGCTGGTACCATCTGTCGGCGTGCCGTGCGAAACTCTGAGGGTAAACCACAAATTTCTTCCGCTGGATGCGAGTGACGAGGGAGAGCTTCTCCTCCACCGGAGAGGCGCAGATCTTCTGCACATGCTGCAGAGCCTTCTGCCGTAGGGCCGATTTGCTTTTAGCCGTGACAGAGTGGACGATGGGGGGATACGCGGGCTCCTTGACCGCAGCTTCGGTATGGACAAGCTTTTGGTTTCTAAAAGGAGGAAGGTTTTTAGGGAACAGCAAGGGCAGTCGTGTGCGGGCCGCCATGTTTCTCTTGTGACTTCAACTTGTTCCTCCGTTGACAGATGAACCAGCAGCCTCCGGTAACAGCGACCCCTACTGCACAGAAAGTCACAATACAGACATAATTACCACATTTAACAACACTTCTACTGTCTCTGGGTCTACCCCTATGTAGGAACTGAGAAACTTAAAACAAATTGTTCCACTTTACTTCCGTTTGAGGCCATATTAGATTATTAACAATTCTGTAAGCTAGCTAATGTTAGCATCGCAGAACGTTGGCGCTTTTGAAGCGACCCTTGCACCCGTTGAAAAATGTCCCCTTTGGATGCACTCAAAAATATCGGAAGTTTGAGATTAACACGAAATATCGTGGGAATAATAAGATTTAGACACCCCAAATGAGCACTGCCAGTTGTAAAATGTGGAGAGGATGAGCCATGGACTCATGTTTAACAATTTATGGTAAAGTGTCAAACTTTTTTGGGCCAGCAAATCGCATTGCCCTTAAGTTTCGCACCGGAGGCGCATTTCTACGTCTGATCCCGGCATTAATGAAATTACCCGTTTATAAATGGATGTCAGACCATATAAAAACTTCATACTTCTCTCATGATGTGTCTTGTCTCCGGAGCCTACTGTTACAGACACACATTATTCAAGACACGATTGAGGACGTGCTAAATAAACGTTACAAGGAGGTTACCTGAAGGCAACGTCAACGTACAGTGCACAGTTCTGTGAGGAAGATTTTTTGGACAGTGCAGTTTGTCAAAAAACCGAAATAAACACTGAAATATTTACTTCGGAAACACTCAATTAGCTAGTTAACTAAGTTAGCTAGCGGTATGTTTCGTCAGCTTTTGCGGACCCGGGTCGTCGGGACCAGAACGGCCTATCTGAACCGATGGCACGGTGTTTGTCGAGCGGAGGTAGCGGCTCTAAAAATAAACAGTCTTGTTCTCATAAACATGTTATTTTTGTTAGCTGCAGCCGAGCACAGTGACAACAACTGTGCAGCCAGCCCTGGTGGTGGCTGTGGGAAACCTGCAGTGTCCCACCACCAAGAGGTTGGGTTCATTGTGCTTCCTCTTAAGGTGTTCTTGTGTGTTTTGTGAGCAGCAGTTCTCGGCTCAGAGCTTTTATGTGTCCTGTGTCTCACTGACCCTCAGAGACCACTGTGCACCAGAAGTGACGAGGTCAGACTGGCAGAGGAGGCCAGCAAGAGGTATGGCTCTCCAGCTCCAACCATCTTCTCCAAAGTGATCGATAAAAGCATCCCTGCAGATATCATTTATGAAGATGAGAAGGTAAACAACCAACGTCTTCAAAAACATGTTTGGGGTTATCTCGTTTGGCTTATTCCACGTGGAGTCCAGAGAGAGATCGACACATGCTTGTTGAGTTGTCGATAAAGGAAATGTAAAGTTGCACACTTTATATGTGTTGGTTTTTGTGTGTTTATCAGTGTTTGGCATTCAGGGATATCAGCCCACAGGCCCCTGTTCACTTCCTGGTCATCCCAAGGATCCCTATTCCCAGAATAAGTGAGGCCAAAGATGATGATGCTGAGGTGAGTTTGTCCGTCATTTCCTTCCACAGTAGATGTCCTTATTCCCTTACACCCAAATCATACTGGTGTGACGGCATCCGCAGTTCATAGAAGGTTTTCTACGAGATTGTGGCTGCAGGGATTGGCTCCCTTTAAGCCACAATAGTATTTGAGGACGCAATTAATCTCACAGGTGTTAGATGGGGTCAGTGTCAGGGCTCCATGCAGACCAGGCAAGTTTTTAACACCAAACTCAGAAAACAAATAAACACTGGGAGGACATGTGAACTCCACACAGCAAGCTCCCAGCGTACCCCCCAGGTTTCAACCCAGAGCCAGTTGTGGTGTGCTTAAAGTCTAATTGCTGTCACTGTCACCATATGCACCCTTCAGGATATATTCACACTAAACAGTGGAGAAGCATTTCATTTCTGCAATATGAAACCATCATGACCACAGTCCTACATCTAATGTTAAAGTGTAGCCACAAGTCAGGGCAATTTTATATGTGTGGCCCATTTCATTAAAGGTAAATTCAGCATTGCGTTAGAATGCATAAAGCAAGAAGCAATAAAGACTAAAACTGGTATTTCCATGTTATAGTCTGACCACTTTTGCTATAACCTCGAGGGGCCTTGAAGCTTTTGCCACATAATTTCCTCCACGTTCAGTCATATTCAAAATGTTAATCTTTGAAAAGCCATAACTGTCACATCACCCGCTCAATTATCATCTTTGTTTCTTTCTTTTGTTCAACTTTCAGCTTTTAGGACATTTGTTGGTTGTTGCCAAAAATGTGGCAAAGCAAGAATCTCTAACGGAGGGATACAGAGTGGGTAAGTTACCTCACTGATAACAGAAATGGGCCTTTAGTAATTTATGTGAAAACACAGGCTGTTTGTTTACTCACACATTGAATTCTGGGTATGTTTCTATCATCCGCAGTGATCAACGATGGAAAGCACGGCGCTCAGTCAGTTTACCACCTTCATGTTCACGTCCTGGGAGGAAGACAGCTGACGTGGCCACCTGGATAATGGTCTCATGTGTATGTTAATGTGTATTTTCTGTCTCCCTGTCTATGTTTAGTCTTACATGATGTATGAAGGCTGTAGTTCATCCAAAAAAAAAACATATTCTCATCCCAATTTTTACATAAAAACTCCCTTCACCTCGCAGAATATGACATGTAAATATGTTGATCTTGACAAATGTAAAAATTAAATGTAAAAATGAAGAGTAAAGACATTATGTTTGGTATGGCTGCAAATAAAGACACTATTTCTAATACAGAAACCTGAAAACTCAACTCAGTTCTTTAATCTGACATTGTCCAGTTTAATGTCGGCAGGAATAGACATTTTTATCAGTGGGTTTCCTCTCAGCAAAACAGATTTTACACATGTATGTTGAATTACAAAGGATTATTTGAAAAGAAGTCACAGGTTGGAACAACAAGAAAAAAAAGGGAACCATATCTCCAGACACCTCAGACAATTATCACATCAATAATTGATGAAAACATCCTTAAAATGAGACAAACAATACATTACTAACATAGGAAAAAAACTGACATTTATATGGATATGAAACACAATACAATATTTATTACCTACACAATTTTAAAAAGTTCTTGCGTGTAGTTAGTTTCTTTGTACCTTTTTCTTTCAGTTTTATTATTGCTGGCTCTAACGATTGCCCTCACTAATCATTTACAACCTCCACAGATGGCATGTGCCCAGATATTAGCAGCGAGGGGCGGATGTGGTATGACTGGGTGGTATGACTCACTTACCATGGTGCCTGTGAGAAGGGTAACTGTGGGTCATTTGAGAACGGGGGATGAACTTTGCCCTATATTTACTTAAAAAACAATGTTCACCTCCTTGATCACGGCTGTCAGACAGATGCAGCTGTGATATACACACGCCTCAGCAGAAAAGAGGAAACCCAGCCTGTATGAAGGTCACATAAAGAGAATAGTGAGTCTGATTCTCGGACACTTGAAACTGCTTCCACATTGTCACTCACTGATTTTTCCCTTATGAATTTTTAGACCAATCGCAAATAGCTAGACCTGGAAGAATTTAAAAGATTTCTTGATGTGACCATCTGGTAGAAAAGAGTCAAGAGTTGCACAAGTTTTGTTCAACTGTTGAATAACTTTTTTTTATGGGTCAAAGTCTCATCTATCTTCATGAACCCAAGAAAACTTATCTAGTTTTATCAATACTTCTGACAGGCCTCATCATGTGTATCTGATAATGAGGATTTGGGATCATAAATGTCTCAATAAACCAAGCTTTATCACATTACGGGATCCTTCATTCTTTTTTACTGTTGAATGCTTTGGACTGTCACCAATGCCAACAGTTGTCAGCTTATCTATGTAATTACTATAAACAAAGCAGGTTTCTCCTCTCCCAGCTACACGCTGTCTGTGTGTCAGGCTCCAGATCTTCTTCACCTCGAGCAGCCGTAACCTTTGGTCACGTTTGTCGGTGGATCTTTAATGGTTCAACACGTCCTCTGCAGCAGGTATTCTGGGATTGCACAAGTCTCTTTTCCTCTGAACAAGGCGTGAATGCAGGGGAACTTGGTATGCACTCATGCGAGGCCCCTATTGGCTGATATTTTGTTCAGGGGGCAACAGTCGAGCATCTGCACCGGGCAAAGGTAGATCTAGCTCTGTCCTGCTACTGAAAGACACTGTCAGGTTAATGTCAATCAGCTCTGTCCCTGGAGAAGGTAGATATCATTCACTTAATGTTTTCACTCTTTGTTGCAGTGTGAAAGATTTAGGGTGTCTTTTGTTGTCATAAATTGCTATGGGAACTGCGTGTATTGTGTGAGAAAGTCTTTGTTCATTCACATGTTTGGTTTTTTTTGTTTTCTTCAGCTGATTATTTTTTAATGGCAGAAAACAATAAATTAATTTCACTGTTTAATTTGAGATTTTAGAGTCTTTACCAGCCATGGATACATACACAGGCTAAACTCAGCAGCCTTTGTGTATGTATGGTAAATATGTCAGACACACGTGACTGAGATGAATATAGCCCCCATTTTATGTGAGCGGGCTGCTTGACCTTGTTGTTTGGTCAACAAAGTCATTGTTTAAGCCCCCTCTTCCACAATGATTGAATCTAGTTAGAAGCTAAACAAAAAACTGCAAGGAGGAGTTATTTCCCTCTGGATCTTATTGCGACCAATCATCTGTAACTACTCTGGATTTTTAGTTTTTCCTATAAGATGTTAAGACTTCTGCTACTTGGCTATTTTTAAAAATCATTTATGAGACTTAAATCTACTTTTTGTGCATTACAGGGCAATTTAATTGATAATTGCATAATCCAGAGCAAAGACTTTGCCACTTCATATTGCCACACTGTAGTTTTGTAAGTCGTATGAACTTTGGTCGACAGAAATCTTGACCAAAGTTATCTTAAAAACCTGAGGTCAGACTGAGAGTCTGCTGGGTTGGCAGATTTTAATCTAATACGATTTTGCCTACAAATGTATCGTGGTATATATGTCAGTGAATGTGTCACTAATTTCTTATTCATTTTTATTTGATGTCTACAGATATGTTGAACTGATTGATTACTTTTTATAGTGTAGTTATTTAAAGGTATAACTTCTGAATATAACACAGTATTTGGATTGTTTCCATTGTTGCAACATATACACACTAGATGGCATTATTTCACTGTCTGCAGTATAGTATATAGCGAAGAGATGAGGAAGACATAAAGCCATACTTTTGTCCTTTTCACAATATGTACATTTTATTTAATATCTGAATTTTTTTCTATTGTTGTATTTTATTCTATTGTATTTTATTGTATTTTAATGTACCTGGCTGCTATGACGACCCAATTTCCCTCCGGGGATTAATAAAGTCTATCTATCTATCTATCTATCTATCTATCTATCTATCTATCTATCTATCTATCTATCTATCTATCTATCTATCTATCTATCTAATTAACTAGTGAGGACTGAGATGCAGTGTATTCTGCTTCCAAGTGTGGTGATTTGGCTCAGAGAAGCTCACAATTTAGGACAAAGATTATGAACGGCGCATGCCGTGCAGATGTCCCAATGCTTTATGGCACAATATTCAAAGTTTCAACACTTGGACTCCTGCTGTACGTGATTACTAGCAGTAGTGGTCATTGGCTCTGATCTGTTGCAACGACTTTGGTGAATGTCAGTCTCGTATAAATGAGCTGTTTCATAATAGATCATTTTATCTGTGTGAAGGACATCAAAGTGTGTGGATGCTAATTTAATTTAGGATCTGTTATTGCAGCTAATACAAGATGAGTCTCCAAGAAGATTTGGTTAAGAGCAATGGTGTTGCAGTCATGGATGATAATAGTGAGAGGTATGTAAAATATTGCATGTTCCAAAGTGAAAATTTTTTTAATGTATCTATGTTTAAGTTAATTATAATGTAGATTTTATCCACTTAGGACGATTTGATATCAAAACTATGAATCTAGACATAATCTATTGTTGGATATCAGCTCATCCATGTCCTCTCATTGGCTTTCACAGCATCCCCACCCAAAAGGCACAGACTCAGTCAGACTCCACAAGCTTAAAGACCCACTCCACTCTCATCCCCAATGGAGAAGCCACCACAGCTGAGCTCACCACAGCATCAGTTTCAGAGACCCAGGAGACTAATTCTTCCAGTAACGCTGAGACACCGGCCGAACCTGCCAGAACGCCTGAGCTGGACGGAGCTGCTGAAGCACTTTCACCAGGTAAATATCTGAGAGTGGTGTTAGGAGAGATGAACTATTCATATGTGAAACATTTCCAGTAACATAAAATACTTTTGAGCACAGTAGTACCCAACTGCCTCCAGGGTTGTGAGATTAACAAACTTTTTGCTGCTCCACAAATTCAACACAAAAAGTTAACGTTTTCTGATTTGTTTGATTGTGACATTCTGGAAAGTTGTCACTCTTCAGGCCTTTAAAACTAATCAAATACAATCTGAGAAGACAGCCGAAACACATGCAACCTGTAAAAAAGGCCATTCATAGACATTATGTCACTTTAAAAGATCAAAAAGGCCTAAAAATCCACTTAGCAGCTGCATGAAGGGTACAGTTTACTGGACTTAGAAAATGCTTATGCAGTGTATTAAATCAGCACAGTTGTCAAGTACAATTTAAATGTAATGATTGTTACATAAAGCAAAATTGGTGTGATCTTATCTGTCTGGTGGCCCTGCAGCAGCATTGTGGAGAAGCTGCAAGTTTGGTAAAGCAGAACTTACAAAAAGCTTAAAAACAAATGCAAATTTAAAAATTAAATTTAACGGAAAATATTAATGTGTGCCATGCTAACAACATGTGCTTGTGGATAATATAATAAGGAAAATTTACTAGAGTAAAACAGAATTATACTGGGTCATACAGGGGAGAAAGATGGATAACATGTTTAAAAGGAGAGCGTGCTGTTTTCAGATGCAGCAAAGAGGCTGTTTAGTAAAAATCACATGATTCACTGAATAGAAATTTCTAATATCTAATCATTATGCCTCAGTTGAAATGTGCTTGTGAAAAAAAATAAAACCAGACTTACAGCCACAAGTGTCACTGTGAACAGGAAAAGGCAAAAAAAGGAGCAAACAAAGCAAAATGAAGAGAATCAATACCCTCCTAGAGTTTTGGTGAGATCCAGAAATAAGAAGTAGGAGTGATGGCAGGAAAAGAAAATAACATTAAAGGAAAGTGTGTAGAAATTGGCCACTTGTTAAATCAATACTACAAACAAACTGCGTTATCAACAGTAAGTTAGAGTGTCCAAACCTATTGTAAGAAATAAGAAAATGCACAGTCCCTCCCACAGCTCCGGACAGGGTGGGCCGGGGCTAGCTGGTTAGCATTCTAACTTCCGAAGATATCTGTGTAACTTCAATACTCTTCAAATAATCTTCACGTTCTGTTGATAATTTTAGTAAGTTGTTGTTAGTTGAGTTGTTTTAAAGCTGGGCTTCTTTTAAATATAAATTTAATTCCTTTACATTCAATCCCTTACCAAACAAGTTGACACAATGCTGATTGAGCCTATCACCAGCACGGGTGTCTGTATTTCGCAGTATAGCAGAGTTTTAAAATCTGTAAACCAGCAATTATTGGTTAGCCAGAGCTGAAGAGGGGAACAACCGTAGTGACGGAGTAGATACAGCGACTAGGAGTATAGTGAAACCTATGGTGTAGACATAAGCATGCATTGACACATGTTGTTTGTGTAATTACTCTCACTGCCGGAACAAATGTTCCCCACTGCAGATTTAAAATAACATTCTTACAGATAACTACTTTAGGTACAATAAAAAAAGAATAAAAGCGTATAGTGGGAGAATTTGGCCTTTGGGCATTTTTGGGAAACAAATAAGGCATTATTGTCTGTATGTTCTTTTGCGCTCCAGTGACTCAAGTCTATTGTACTGTGTTAAAACCATATTACTTCCTCTCACAAAACCGCATAGGTAATTAGGCTTGGATATTGTATAACTTCCTATTCTGTATCAGGTAACAGCATAGCCTTCCCCTGTTCACTGCACAACCTGCAAATCATGTTTCTCTGAGACAGCAGCTGTAACAAGCCCACGGGGGTTATCCAGAGATGTCTGCAGGCTTCTCATACACCTGACTCTACTGCTAAAGGACAAGCTTTCCTGTCGGAATTGTCATTATGGCGGATAAAAGTGGCTTTCCCTGTTGTCCCAATACAGAAGAGCCCAAGGCTGTTCCACTGTCAAATGTAGCAACAACTCTGGCCCCAGCTGACCAGCTATGGAGCACCAGCAGAGACAAGGCAGTCAGGCTGAGGATGGAGGGCTCAGGTTCGGCCTCAAGCACTCCCATCACCATCCATCAGATGTTCCTGGAGACGGTGGAAAGCTATGGGGATCACTCAGCCTTGGTTTATAAAAAAGAGGGCCAGTGGGTGACTATGACATGGAGGCAATACTACGAGCAGTGCCGGGCAGCTGCCAAAAGTTTCCTCAGGGTAGGTTTGTGTGAAAAATGTATACTATTACTGCAGTTCAATCAGGAAATATTTGGGCAGTGACAAATTTTTTGTATGTCGGCTCTCTATTCCAATACATTGGATTTTGAATAAAACATTAACTGTGAATGCTTTTAGTTTTAATTTAAGGATGTTTACATCTGTTTTGGGTTAACAATGTAGAATTGTAGCCTAATTATGGCAGTTTCAAGTGATTAGATACACGTAAACTTTAGAAGGAACTAAGTGTTGCCATAAAATCATCATATATATAATAATCAGACACAAAGTCATCAGCAGTTGATATCCATCCTGGTGAGTCTCCCAGACTTTTACTGCAGCCATCGTCACTTCTTGACTTCTTGCTTTTAGTCTGGTCTTCTTCAGATAACGGCAAAGCTGAGAGTCAGTACTTTGAAGTCATAGTCACTGTTTCATTCAAATCCAGTGTGCTGAAGTATAGCCAATACAGAGTTATTATTACTTTCTGCCCGCACTGTATTAAATATCCTACTCTTTTAAACTAAACTACTATAGCAGTGAACTATATTGCAGCAATTTCAAGCTACATTAAACCTTCAATTCCTGGTACCTGTTTTGTAAACAGTACCTCAGAATTGGCTCCCTCTCTCACTGTAATCTCTGTGGTGTGAGAACTCTTGGGTGTGTGAAATTCACAGCTTGTGTTACATCTCCTGTTTCATGGACAGGTTTGTGTCTCATGAGGTGGAGTGGTTTTAAAACGAGATGTAGGTCAAGAGTAACGGAGGCACTGTGCCGCTGTGTCATTAAAAATACATAAACACACATAACTTGTCTTTTTTTTAGTTGGGACTGGAGCGTTTCCATGGCGTGGGAATTCTGGGATTCAACTCCCCTGAGTGGTTCATCTCGGATGTCGGCTGCATCTTTGCCGGGTGAGATCACATTTACAATTACACCTTTCAACTTGATTTTGTCCCTGGAGAAAAACAGGCAGTACAATACATAAAAGAGAATAGGCATACAATACAGTAAGGAGGAGGGGAGGAGCCCTGAATACAGGAGCGCTGGTGGAGCTGAGGTGGGCTAAATGAAGCCTGGTTGCTAAAACCAGCCACGGGTAACTGCACCCACCTGTCATTGAAAGCAGACATGCCCTTAATTATGCATAACTTTAAGCCTTAATATAGTTTAAACAGGTGAGTTATATAAAACCATACAGTTGTTATGAACAGGGAATTTAGCTATAGAGACCAAAACCGTTTTTTGCACCAGGCTGTAAACATTTTTGTTTCTGCTATAAAGTTGGCCGTTTTTATAATAGGGGCTTATGGAGATGGACTGACTTTTGGAACTAGCCTCAGTTAGCCATTAGCCTAACCATTAGAGGAACTGCATTTTCAGCCCAGGAAGTCGCTGCTTAAAAGTAACCAGGCATGTCGATTACATGATCAACATCTCTGCCGTCATAACACAATCACCATCATCAACAGCATAGACATCATAGTTATCATCATCATATCATCACAGTTACACTTCACTGCACACTCATTGAGTAGCCCTATCCAGGCTGCACTCAGAGGGAAATGACGAATCTTCTTAATAATATAACTAAATTTAACTTTAAAAGTAACAATTTCATTTGGTTTTCTCAACAGAAATGAAGGAATTTCTGAGATATACTTTGTACTATATATACTTTTGTGTCTATTTTTTAAGATTTCTTACACCCCTTAAAATCAAAAAGGCCTCACCACCCTTGATGAAGCTTTGGCGACCCGCAGTGGGGGGTCCCGACCCTCCCGGTTTGGGTTTGCAGAAGGCAAAATCTGAACTTCAGATAATAGAGGATTGGCTTTAGTCTTTCTCCCTATCTGTCTGTTAAACTGGTCAGATAACATACTCCGCTTTATTACCAAGATCTTGCTGATCACTTTTACTATCCTGTTTAGAGCACTCTTGACGGCTGCAGAAGTCGTCTGTATACAGAAAATGGAGGAGAGGCACAGCCCTGAGGGGACATGCATCCATTAGCCTCACTATCTGTTTGTTAACAGATCTTCCACTTTTATTCTTAAGATGCCTCAGCCTTGTTTCACCTAACGCTGCACATTTATCTCTGTGCATGCTTATGTCAGTCCATCTCTGCATATCTGCCATGAACAGTTTAAAGTCTCAGGAAACCTAATGTGGCAAAAAGAATTGTTATACCCGCCATTGCTCTCAGATAAATGAGTGACATTGAACATATGTAGTTTATGCACCTATTCAAAGACTTACATTTACTGTATGTAAGGATTTATATACAAAACAGTATCTTTTGGGGCGCCCTGGTAGCTCACCTGACTGCACTAAGGCTGAGTCATTAGTGGCTCAGGTTCAGTGGCTGCATATCATTCCCACTCTCTCTCCCTCTCTCCTGTCAGTCCTCAGCAGCTGTAATAGCTTTATTTTCTGCAGTGAGGAACCCACTAAAACAAATGTATTCATTTAGATCAGAAACTGTGTACCCTCTCTCCCTGCTGAGAGTGGTTTGGGGTATTTTAGATTCTTGATGTGTTGTTTCAAAGCTTTTTATTCTCCTGTATCTGATTTGTGCCTCAGGGGTCTAGCAACTGGAATTTACACTACCAACTCGCCTGAAGCTTGTCAGTATGTGGCTGACAACTGTCAGGCCAACATCCTTGTTGTGGAAAACCAGAAACAGCTTGAAAAAATCCTGCAGGTCAGGAGTTTATTGTGGGTCTCTAACAAC